CGGTTATAAACGTATGTCAAGAAACAATGAGGTAATGTTAATTAAAACAATGAGGTAATGTTAATTAATGTATACAAATTTATTAATGCAAAAAACTCTATACATTACAATATCATTCCACCGATAGTGGTTTTGCTGTAACACAATGGTCTTTTCCATACATGTTGACACTTACCGATGCTTACGCTCAACATAAACAGCTTGTGTTGAAAATATGTTGTGTAACACAGATATGGATATAACACCCAGCATTCGAAGTTATTAAATCATGCAAATTCATGTGAATACTGTCACTTATGACCAAATAGAAGGCGAGAAGACCTAGAGTTCACTAACATGACATGGGAAACAGACATCGATGGGGAAAGAGTAAAGAAAACACCACACAAGCATTACAATCACACCCGACATTACAAAAAGAATACTGCTGTTATGTTCTTTGCAAAATCAAAGAACATAACTCAATCTCCATACTGCTACAACTAATTGCCGTTTTCTGTTTTTGGCCTGGCTTCATAGTCAAAAACTTTGTGGTTTATATGTGTACTCACTGCGATGTGACGATACCAGGGCCACTATCACTAATAGCTAACTAATGTGCCAGTGACATTCTGTAGATAATCTCTTCACTAGCATTTGGTAACCATTGAGCTGTTGCTAATCAATATTTATAATTGTGGAAAATGAAGATATGTTAAACAAATTTGGTATACACTGATGATGGACACATACTGTTTTTCTTAAAGAATCCCCGATTGTGAAGACAAACATGACGAATTGTGTGTCTGTGACACCTTGACTCATAATATAGCTAATCGATAGGTTTTGTTTTAAGTGTAACAGTTGTATGTATGTAACATAAAAACATCAAGTCTCACTTTTCATGTTGGTCCTATTATATGTCTTGTGACCTCTTCGTAGACAGACCTAAAATAATATCGGTTTAAATGTGTGTAATTTTCTTATGCTGTTCTTAAACAGCATTTTATTCTTAAACTTTAGCAATAGATCGGAAGAGAGGGCTTCTGTATCTGTTTTAAATGGCTCATGTTGTATTTACTTTTTTTTTTTTTTTTTTTTTTTCAATTTGACCTCTAGAATTTGCTTTTGTGCAATTTTATCTGCAGGATTTACCAAAGTGTGGAACTTTGTTTAACAACCTCATGCTTTAATGAATACGCATCTCTCAGGGCAATAGTCAAATGTGACTCTGCCGTATGGTTTTAAGTGTAAAACAGCATATATAGACCACATCATAGATAGATGGGGGAAGTTGACCTAAACAAAGTATCAGCTTAGTCAAATATTCTCAAACAGAAAGACTATTACTTAAATGAATTGTCATTTATTCCTATAAAACGCAGAATGTTGACAGCTCTTTAAGAAAAGTCTTCACCTAAAAACATACAGTCCTACATACATACATACTGTGAAACAGTATCATCTGCTGTCTGAACAAGATGACTAAATCTATCGGCGTAATAGAACCGTCATTTGCACACTTATGTGTGTTTATTATAAACAGCTTTTCAACCCTCTTATACCCCGTACACACGGTTGAAGTAAATTTACCTCTTGTATTTCCTTTTGTGCAAACATAAATCCTGTATAACGATTGTTTGAATTTTACTCATAGTCTTTACAAGGACCTGTAACTTTATTGTTCTTAATGTGTTTGCATTACAATACTGTGGCATATAGTTCCTCTAACAAATCTGTCAGAAGAGCAAAAAAAAAAAAAATTACGAAGATTTATAGCACATATAGTAACTTTATTTGAGTCAAAGAAGATGATGATACCAATTAAAAACAAACTAATCTTTAATGCTAAGCGGGACGTTGAGCAACTTAATATACTATTAAGTATAATATAATATGAAATACTGGTTTTGTCAAAAGGAGAAAGTTCAGTCATTTATAAAAAAAAAAAAAAAAAAAAAAAGCCTCTTAAATGTAAGCCATGCGTTCATCACACATGTTTTCCCATGTGCGGAACAGCATAAACTTACATCGTTTCTGTCTTCACCTAAAACAAAAACAAAAAAAGAAAGAAATGTGACCAGTGTCATCTCAACAAGATGACTATGTCTAGTGGTGCGATTAAAAAAGCCTTTGCAAAACCATATTTACAAAACATGAAACAAAAGTACAAATTGCTCAACATTTGAGTTTTCTATGTATGCATCATAAACAATGTCTGTATGGCGTAATTTATTTTCTTAGTGATTTGGGGTCTTGAATTTACATGGTGATTTATGCACACTTCATTACTTCTTTTCATTTTGCCAGAGTGTGGAACATTATTTACCATTATTAAAGTTGATGAAATGAATCAATGTATAGCTCTCAGTGCAATAGTCAGATGCGATTCAGTTGTAACAGATTAAGTGTAAAACTTAAACTAAAAGCATAACTTATTTTTCGTGTTGATGCTTTGTGTAAACTGAAATTATAGATAGCTGTAAAGTTGCATTGCAAGAAATATCAATTTAGTCAAACACTCTGAAGCAGAAATACTATCACTTAAATTCTTAATTTACATTTATTCCTATAAACACTGAATGTTGACAGTTCTCAAAGAAGAGTCCAACAAACAAAATATTTTTACAAAATATCTGAATAAGACGAATAACACTAGTGGAGTGATAAAAACACTACTTACAAAACAAAATGTACCAACTTTCACATTTGTTCACAAATGGATTTTGTGTATTTATTATAAATCTTGCTTTTCAATGTATGCTGTGCCCTCTTTTCTTACTGATTTGGTCTTTTGAATCTTACAGATGTTTTTGGACACACATACAGTAACTATATAAAGATTATGTTTGAAAGTTATTCAAGAGTGTGAAAACTTTGTATCACTGCGGTGTGAAATACCCCCTGTCAAAATATGTTAGCGTGTAAAAATACGCACAAAGAGTTTAGCAGTACTATTTACACACACACACACACACACACACACACACACACACACACACACACACACACACACACACACACACACACACACACACACATTTTTGGAGGATGTGTAATAGAGCTCATCTCTTTAATTTTGTGCTGGATGTTTAAAGTGCTAGTGACTTCTATGATGTTTTGTAGCATAAAGATTTATCTGGATCACTCAACAAAGTTTTGTTTTCTGACCTCACAGAGATTACACTAAGATTTGATTTCTTGACTTTTGCTTGTTTGCACTGTGCCCCCGGATCTTAGGAATCAATGTGTGGTTGTGTAACAGGTATAATTTGAAATGTAGGTTTGTCAAAAGAAAAAGGTTCAGTCATACATTTTCTAGTGAAAATTGTGTTTTACTCGTGTGAGTAAACTGCTCGGCTACAGTTCTAATACTAGTTGCTGGTTATCAGTCTGTTTTAAAGAATACAATAAAGTAAAAGTTTTATTTAAAGAAAATAGACAACTTTCCTTGCTTTTTGTGGCAAACAAATGTATAAATGTCTGAACATTTAAAATCTCTTAGTTTGAAGTAAAATATGTAAATCTGTTGTTGTTTTGCAACACACACACACACACACACACACACACATACACTATGGGTTGGGGTAAAAACTAAAACATTTTCTTTAAAAAATACTAAAATAACAAAAGTAACGACCAAATTGATATACACTAAAAATGTTTTTTGTGTGCGAGCCCAGAGAATCACCAGAAAGCTTTTGATGAAGTGTCATTCTTTAAACATCCAGCCTAAGCAACTGTCGTAAAACCATTAACAAACCCATTTAGGTTGCACTCTTCCCCCACCAGTTCCACTTGTAAACACCTTAACTGTGATTTTAGAAAAATGTTTTGATTCTTTGTCTTAGGTAACATAAACCTATAGTTCAGGTACTACATCCTACTGTGGCACACACACACACACACGCACACACACACACGTAGGGCTAATGGTATTCCTGAATGCCTTGACTCAAATGTTTTGACTCAATTAACATATAGGCTACCCTACAACAAAGGTTTTCAACACTCAGGGTGCCACCATTACGTGATACCTGCTTGGGTGAATTTCACCCCCAACAATCAAAGGAAAATACAATCAGCAACAGTTTCCCCCCAGCTGACTGGAAGGAGCCCAGATTTTTGTTGACACATGGAGTCTCTGTCAATCATGAGTGACAAGGGGTGCCTAAATCTACCAAAAGATGGTCATAAAATCAAACAAAAGGTTTTTGTCTTTTAAAAGTTTCCCGGATCTCACCAAAGGAGGATGTCACACGGCTCCAAACTTCCTAGACATACAGGAGCCTGTCAGCTACCACCGTAAATCAGAAACACTGTTTTCTTGATACAAGAACACTACGACAGTCATGACTGACACATGTCAGTCATGAGTGACAGGCACACAACTCTGTACCAACATAGGGCCATAAATCAAGTCATAAAACACCTTTTTTGACACATGGTTTATGTTAATACTACTCAGGATGTTGGTCGTACTTTGAAAGTTTCTCAAATATTTATATTATTTTAACAAAACTGCTTCACTGCTTTTTCCCCCCTAATAAATAATAATAAAAAAATTCAAGAGTTCCATCCTTTTATTTAGACTTTTTCCTTCATTATGATAAAAGGACATCTTTTGATTTTTGATATTATGCCTCAATATATATCAAAATGAATTTTAATCAGAATTTAAAAACATGTTCATCACAGAAGAGGTGTGTTCCAAAAATAAGTTATTGTAGACTCTTATGAAAAGGTTTTATATATATATAGAACCCTAAAGGGTTCTGTCAGATATACCCTTTTAGGGGATCCCATCATGAGATAATTTTATGGATTTATTATACTTAATTGTTTAATTTTATTTAAATTTATTTAAAACATACTTTATCACTATTGAAATAACCTCTTAATAAACTTTTTTTTGCATAAACCATTTTAAAATTTAAAATAGAACTTCTTTTTTTTTTTTTTTTTTAAGAGTGTATGAATGTTTCTTTATGTGTGTAATGTGTATCATCTCTGGTCTGCAGCAAGAGCTTAAGCATTCACAGAGGAGATTCCAGCAGGTCATAAAGGAGCGCGAGACGGAGCTACAGGATCTGAGTCAAGCCGTACTGTCCCTCAGGGTGAGTTCATTACCGCCAGGGGGACGTGGAAAGTCCTGATGGAGAAGCGGGATGGTGTGGGTTATCAACTTAAAAGTAAGCAGAAAGGTTTTGCACTCTCATCACTTCTCTGGTTCTGTATGTTGTCAAAAAGAGCTCTGCCCAGGCAGCGGTGGAGGATACGGAGAAGATCTTGACTGAGCTGATTCAGTCCATTGAAGCTCTTTGTATTGAGGCGACGGAGATGATCAAAGCAAAGGAGCAGACGGAATTAGACGAGGCACATGGATTTATGGAGAAACTAGAGCAGGAGATCTCAGAGTTCAAGAGGAGAGATGCTGAATACGACACTATTGCACGCCTTGATGATAAAACCCAGTTCCTCAAGGTAACATCAGTGCTTTTGGGTACCACTTGGGTACTTGTCATCTGTGAAATCGATCTAAGAGTTTATTGAATTCTATTCCTCAGAGTTATGAAACACTGTGTAGTCTGCCAGAGTTGGTGACCACTCCTGCAGTTCTAGCCAATCCAGACTTCTGTTTCGATATGGTGTCAAGAAAACTCACAGTTCTGACTGAGGACATTAAAGATCTATGCCTGAAAAAATTTGAGAAATTATCAAAAAAAGGTGAGTCGTCAAATGATTATGTTTGGAATAGCATGCGAACTATGCGATTCTTACTGTTCCTGCAGTATATCTGCATAGAATACTTGGATGGTGCAGTAAGCGATTTCTGAGAAACGCTGTTGAAAGTGAATCAAACTGAGCAGCACAACACAATAGCCAATCAGCAGTAGGGGGCGTGTCCACTCATAACGGGGGAGGAGAGAGAGAGTGAGAAAGAAGGAGATTTGAAGAAAGACTGTAGAAAAAGAGACGACTGAGAGACATTACAAAAGAGAAAATGTCAGAGGAATATCACTGGAAAAAGAAGGGTTATGATCATATGAAAATAACTAGCTTCCGGCAGACGGCCTACGCAAGTCGACTTACGCCAGAAGAGTAACACTTGACAATGTAAGTGTATGACGTAGGTTATAGTAAGCTTTGATGCCTCTCACGGTTCAAACAAACAGGGCTGGGCTGTCCGTTCGTCATTTTGAGGTTTATTTTTGCCAAAGCATCATTTTGCTCATCATTTTAGCTATGATAAAAAGACATCCACTCTTGCATTACGTGTTTGTGCATTTTGGGGGCGGAGCAATAAAGTGAGTGTGTTGGTTTGGGTTGATTTCAAATATCAACAGTGTTCCTCGGAAATCACTGAAAACCATAATCTGATTTTATTCATTATTTGATAATACTGTCAAAAGTCTAATTTACTTTTACATTTTTATTTATTTAACAAAATTAAATTGATAAAGATTGCATTAAAAAATATTAAGAAAAAGAATCCTTATTTCCAAGCATGTGATGAGGTCAAGTGACAATGTTGCATTCTATTGTTCAAAACAATTAACGTGTAATAATTCCTTTAGTTTTTATTTATTCATCTGTCAATGTTATTCAATTTACAAATGAAATATTTAACATAAGCATAACTCCTTATACTTGTCAGAGGATAACTGGATGCCACATGTGATGAGGTCATTTGACAACAATGTTGCATACTATTGTTTAAAACAATTAACATGAAATAATTATGTGTTTATTTATTTATTTACAAATTAAATGGAAAAATTATTGAATTTAAAATGAAAAAGAATAAGTGAGTTGACAACCGAATCCTAAATGAGATGAGGTCATGTGACGACAATATTGTATTGTTCGAAATGTTTATAAAGTGTGTTTCTCTTACTTTTACTATAGAATTATTGTCAGTATCTAGTTCATACCAGATTCAGTAAATACATGCAAGTATTCCAAACACTATAAATAATAAAAGAAGCTGAAATTAGTTGAAGTACAATAAGTATGAATGTTAAAACCCTCTGATGGTCTTCGGGGTCTTTTTAACCCGCAAATGACTTTTGCTGAATTAAAAAAAATATATGTCCAAATGGCTTGAAACAGCTCTCAACCCTTTCTAGATCTACAATTTTTTTTTTTAATTGTAATGATTTTTTTGTTTTTATATTAGCGTGAAAAAAATAGTCACACTCATGGTCTTCGGAGACCCCGCAAACAAAATAGACTAAATTCATCATCAAAATCAGAAACAACGCAGAACACACATAGACAGAAATGAAGTGGCACACTTCTAACAGTGCTAAAAACATACACAATGCAAAATTATCATGCACACACACACACACACACACACACAGAGAGAGAGAGTAATACATTTGTGAGACTATAAAAACTGCTCTCTAATAATTTGTCACATAAAATAGTCCAAAATGCGGAACCACCACAACAAACACATCGACAATGTGAACACTCACACACATACACACACACACAGAGAGAGAGAGAGGGAGAGAGACAAAAGTTACTGCTTTATTTGCTCATTTGTTATGCTGTTCAGTTCATTGCATTTTGATGTTCATGTCATGTATTTGTACTCAATATATAACTGTTCATATCTGTTCTGTTACAGTTCGTAACTGAAGTATAGATTACCTTTGTACAATTATAAGAAAAAAAGACATTTATCAATTTACAATTATAAGAAAAACTCAACTTGTATCTTTTTCAGGTTTGATTCTAATCATAATGTAACATTATTGGAAAAAAAATATTCAGTTCAAAAAATGCTAAACTTTGACAAATTTTATTGTTATAATTGTGATGTCATAATATTTAAATATGAAGCCAACTGGAAAAACTTGTGAAAAGATATCTTTCAGTTAGTCAAATAGCAAATAGTGGAGCTCTATAGCCATCTAGGGGCTAAAATGATAATTTTTTACTTTTAAAACTACATTTTCCAAAATAAGGGCAGAAATTTTACACTAAACCATGTACAGTTATCCATGTTATCTCCATAAATGAAATTTAGAAATGTCGGTCTTTTATAAAGTGAATTTTACATAAAAAAGCTGTTTTTGTATAAAAACCTATTTTAAAACCTCATTAATGAGGAATGAACCCATAAAGAAGACCATCAGAGGGTCAAAATTCTTGCACTGATTATATTTTGTCTTATTAGTGTCAAACCTCAAATTTATTCCTACCCCTGAACCCAAAGTCAGGGAGGAGTTCTTGGAATGTAAGTAACACAGTCACACCCACACACACACATGCAACAAGAAATCAGTACAATTGACAACAGAGAAACTGTCAAGTTAATTCATATCTTGCGTCTCTGGATTTCAGATTCGGGTCCCCTGACTCTAGACATGAACACCGCTCACAGAAACCTCAGCGTTTGCTCAGAGAGTGGAGAGGTGACGTTCATCAAAACTTCTCTGTCCGTTCCTGACCACCCCGAGAGGTTTGATAACTATAGCCAGGTTCTGTGCAGAGAGAGCGTGACCGGCCGTTGTTACTTCGAGGCCGAGTGGAGCGGGAAGGGTCCTGTGCACATCGCAGTGTCCTATGAGGACATCAGCAGGAAAGGAAAGAGTACCCAGTGTGCATTTGGACACAACGCCCAGTCGTGGAGTCTGGTGTGCTCTGAGGATACCTACACATTCTGGCACTGTGGAAAGGAAACTAAGATTCCCAAAATGCAGTGGGCTCACAGGGCTGGCGTTTATGTCGATTTCTCGGCAGGGATTTTGGCATTTTACAGCATCACAGACTCAATGAATCTCATCCACAAAATTCGGACTGCATTTGCTCAACCGCTCTATCCTGGCTTCAGGATTAACACTGGGTCCAGTGTGAGACTTTGCTATCCACTTTAATGGCACGAAATGGGTTAATTTAGTGCCCGAGCAGTTATTATAAACTTAAGTTTGCTTGTATTGTGATATCCATCTCCATATACCAGTGCTATATACAGGGATGGATCGAGAATCTAATATATATGACTAACACTCTGTTGTGAACTTTTTTCTTCTAAAGTGTAGGAAACTCAGAAGCGAAGACCAGGAGACTCGGTTGTATCTTTTTAAGCAGGATTCTTTATTGCTGTTGTATTGCTGTAGTCTGTTTCGTCCAAAAATCTTAGCCAAGTCTAACTAAAGGAACTTTACATTGTACTTGACATACCTTTTTAAGGGGGAGGGGTTACATAGAGGTGGGGACTCTTGAACAAAACATGTAAATGAAAGTACATGATTCAGCTGGTTACCTGATTTCATCAGCATGACAATGTAACTCAGAGCCTATTAGATCAACTAAAGGCCCAGCTGACCTTTGAGATTTGACAAGAGGTTAATATCCGACATATTGACTGCTTCAAAATGGGAAACAGTGTGCAGAACTTTCTCAGTTAAAATACTATTGTATTGGAACCTAAATTAAACATTTAAAGGGGTCATATAATGCCATTTTTGTACAAGCTAATATGATTCTTTAGGATCTAAATTAAAAGTTTGTAATATACTTTAATTAAAAATTCTCATTAGTATTGTAAGAAAACACTTATTTTACCTGGTCAAAAACAGCTCTGTTTTCAGCACGCCGTTTCAGTGCATATGCCTTTAAATGATAATGAGCTTTGCTCACCCCGCCTCTCTGTTCTGTGCGTACACCGTTTGTAACACAATAACACAATAACCATAACGCGTTGTTCAGTATAAACGTGGGATTATGAATTATATTGAGAACATCATACATAGAAAACATGCCATAATGTACCCTAAGTGTAAACCTTAGACGCATTCATTGTGAAGCGTGCAAGCGATTTGCAAAGATTAATATAAATATTAATATAAAGTTTAATAAAACGTTACACTCACTTCAGTTGTTCTAGAGGTTCAGCAGGAACACGAATAGCTGGTACCGATCCTTTTTTCATGAGCAGCTTCTTAGCAAAACCAGCTTTATACTGACGCTCGTTTATAAAGCAGTCTGGTGAGAAATGATTCACGCAAACATGAAAGCATTGACGTTGCTCGTGGGGAATATTCCCTTCGAAAACAAACTCAGCCACTGCGTCTTCAGCGGTTCGGATTTAGGAACATTAAAATGACTGCTGTGTTCGTTATTACACCCAAGAACAGAACACCACAATCGCTTAGACGCCATTCTGCTCATAGACAGTGCTCCAGCATATCAACAATGACCGCACCGGTCCGCGCAGACTATGATTGACAGCTGGCTCACGAGCAAGGGCGGGTCTGTGTTGAAACGATGCTGTCAATCAACAATCGTGGGAGGGGCTTCCGAGCGTGTGACGTCACAAAATCGAACGGCTCAATTTGAGGCAGGGGAAAACATATAAGGAGATTAAAACAAAAACACTGGATGGATTTTTATCATTATATGATGGTTGTGTACAGGCACTGCCAACACACATTTCAGTACAATCAACTTGTAAAAGTGCATGTACCATTATATGACCCCTTTAAATAAATTTGTAATCCTACAACTCTCATGGAATTTCATAACTATTTTACATTTAAGCGAATTAGTGGCTAATTCGTACAATTTTGTACACTACACAGTTAGGGTTAGGGGTGGACCTTCATCATTAAGTTTTTACTTTTGTTAAAGTCACCATGAAATCGAAGTTAGCCATTTTTAATTCTTATGGAATATTCCAAATTTATTATAAATAATTTATCCGTGCACATCATCATTTTTTTATGTGTTCTCGTAATCCTTCATCAAAATAACTTCCCCTCCCTTTTGGAGCAACACCTCTTCTCTGATGATGTGTTTGGTGTGAGGGTGGGACAACCTGTCACTCACATGAGATTGACCAATAGCAAACCACAACCATCCAAACAATTCCCCATGGACAAAATTGTTCGAAAAGTACATCACAATTGGGAACAAAAGACTATCGTAACTTTCATTTCATGCCGACTTTAAATTAATCACATCATACGAATTCATACAAAGTCTCCACCTCGTAAAATAGTTACATTTTCTCATGAGATCAGGTTGTACATGTTCACGAATGTTAGACTTGGTTGGGTGTGCTAACTTGAAATCTGTAAATAAAAAAAATAAAAAAATAAAAAAAAAACACTTCTGGGACCTGGTATATATATATATATATATATATATATATATATCAAATCAAATCCAACATCTATGTTTTTGATTAATCTGTTAATGTGTTTTTGTATTCATCTGCATTACTGCCCTGCTTATAGTCATACAATATTTCAGTCACATGAAACCAATCAGCCTCTGAACCTATATTTACAATGTTCAACATGTTCTTATTTTAGATCTTTTGTAGTTATGTGTAAAATATATTTGCATTTATACCAGTAAAATATTTAACTCCAAGTACAAGCTCTCCTTGACATTTTACATTTAGACTACAGGTTTGGCCTGTTGAGATTGAGAACAAAAAGCATAAGAATCTAAACAATTGTATTAATTTATTTGAAAAAACAAACAAAAAACATTCATCCCATTTCAATACAGTACACAATGTAACGGCAACAGCTTTACATTCATCACATATTCAGACATTAATCTTCATTCAAGAAGGTGACGTGTGATTTCTGCACACATTACAAATGGAACAAACAGAATGTTTTGACATTTTAACTTTGCAGTTTGATGCCAAAAATACACACTTCAGCTTTACATAAAGGGATGCAATATTAATTGAAATTACCTTTTATTCAGACAGACCCAAAAATATGTTCTAAGAATATTTTTTGAACATGCTAAAATTCCCATTAAGCTATAAAAACTTTATTTCTGAATGTTCTCAGAACGTTCAAATTGTCCAGTTTTGTAAAAATGTTTTTTCTTGGTTATGTGAAGAACATTAAGAGAACATTCCATTTGTTCATTTTGCAAACAAAACTAAAACCAGAAGTAACAAACAAAGTACAACAAAACGGATAACATACATGTTCTATAAATAATGTTTTTGTTCTAACGTTTTGAGAATATTATTAAAGTCAATACACTTTGAAAGAATTAATGTCAGTGTAAGGGGCCGTTCACACAGAACGCGTTTTTCCATTCCAATCATAGATATATACACTAGATGTCGCCTTGGCTACGGCAGTTCATTAGAACGAATGCGTCAATAGAGCCGCCATCTTGGAACAGGGGAGCCCCTCCACTTTAATGCATTAGTGTCAATGTAGACAAAGGTCTAACGGAAATAAAATCACCATAAATCATCATGAATGCGATTTTCTCGTTTTTTTTTGGTTCGTTCCCACGGTCAGACATGTATTTATCATTGATTCCAGAAAAAAAATATTTTAAAAACATTCTTCCTAGTTCAGATTTCATTCGTGTGAACATCATACACAGCACAAAAGTCCGCCACCATCAATTCATTAGAAGTAAAGGCAGAGATAGCAGCGTTACGTTACCTAGCTACTTCCTATGACAAGACCCCTGTTCCAAGATGGCGGCGGTTTTGACGCATGCTTAGAACCCCAAGGTGACATCTAGCATTCCAATGCGGTACTTTTCTATTGTGTTTCTATGTAAACGCGCGCTAAACTGACTGACGTGTATAACCGTTGTGCTCGGGTTTTTTGCAGCGTCTCGCGCATGACACGGCGTTCCAAAAACGCGGCGCTCAAGTTAAAATTAGTTCAACTTTTAAAAAACGCGTCCCGAGACCATTCTACAACTTTTCCAAAGCTAAAAGTGCGTTCTGTGTGAAGGAGCTCTTATAAGAATGTTTGTTCCTAACTTTGAGAGAACCTTAAAATTCTGAGAATGTTACCTGTGTAGTTAGCGAGCTGGTATGCAAAAATATTGTTAATCTACTATTTCATCTACATAGCCAGACAATAACGAAACTTCAGCTAAAAGTCCATGGAACTTCAATGACACAATATAAGCACTAAATTGTTCTGTATTTGAGTCCATTGACCATGTTATACTAGATGATATTTAAACCCTTCTTAATTTAAACACACTAAATATAATCATTAACAGGTTCACCGTTATAGCTGCCGGTTCATTTGCATTGATAAAATATAATCAATCCCTAATTACAGGGACAAACTCAAAGCCTCACCAGCATCTTATTGGGAACTGCCATACAGTACTGAAAAATGGAAGATATCGCTATGCAAGGCACTGTACAGTAACTGATACGAATATGGTGGACAGACAGCAGAAGTGTAAAGTGACTGAACGCAGAATCTACATTCCATATAGCAAGGTGTAGCCATTATAATAATGGTGCTTATTATCTAAATACACACAATTTTATATGACTAACACAATAGTGAGTCACATCACAAAAAAATGCCTCTAAAGAACACACAGGTCAATATACACCCAGGTCATTCAGTTTGCTGTTGCTTAACACCTGAAAAAAGCAAAAGCAGCCAAACAGGAGATAAACTGGTTCCTGTTGAACCTGCCATGACAAAGGACAATTTGATGGTTTCAGATAGAGAGCATCTACATCTGTAAATGTCTCTTAACAGCAAATATAAATTAAACAATGCCTTTAACGTTGAACATACTTCATGACCCAAGCTGACATAGCGTGGAAAAAGTTTGGGGGCAGTAATATTTTTGAATGCATATAAATGAAGTCTCTTATGCTTACCAAGACTGCATTCCTTTGATCAAAAATACAGAAAAACATTAATATTGCGAAATAGTATTAAAATAGCTGTTTTCTATTTTAATATATATTTAAATGTAATTTATTCCTGTGATGACAAAACTGAACTTTCAGCATCATTACTCCAGTCTTCAGTGTCACATGATCCTTCAAAATTCATTCTAATATGCTTCTAATTTGCTACTCAAGAAAAACATTTATTATTTTTAGTGATGTTGAAAAAAGTTGTGTTGCTTAATATTTTTGTGGAAACCGTGATACATTTTTTCAGGATTCTTTAATGAGTGAAAAGTTCAAAGGAACAGCATTTTTTTCTTAAATAGAAATCGTTTGTAGCATTTTTATGTCTTTGCTATAACTTTTGATCAAGTGCTTCCTTGCTGAATTAAAGTATTCATTAATTTTTTTAAATAAACTTACTGACACCAAACTTTTAACAAGTAGTGCATATTTTAAATATATATGTATATATACTGTGGTACAACTAGGGCTGGGTGCATTTTATTTAAGATCTAATTCAACATTAAGGTGAGAGCATAATTAGCATATTCATCCCTGTTAAAATGTAGAAGTGCACTGAAAGATTGTGCCCGAACATTCACACCTAGTCCAGGAGAAAAGGGTAAGACTGGCTGTTGAAACAGAGAAACCAAATAATTCGATAAAAAAAAAAAAAAATTGTGATAGAGTGAGGTTGCTCAGAAAACCATAACTTCTAGAATAAAAAAGAAAAAGAAAAAGGAAAACGTTTAGAAAATATATTTCCACTTCCCATTTTTGTTCATTTAAAGTCGCGTGTCGTTTTTTTTTTTTCTCATTCCCCAAGCGTGCAGTGTAACATCTTTTTAATTTAAATATCCACAGCCGTTATCTATAACATTTACAAAATATATTCTCTATACATATTCTATGCTAAAACTAGCATGACAAAGATTAAAAAAGACAATCCATAACAAGAATGAGCAGATTTGTCAGGAAGTCATCCAGTACCTGAGAGCAGGCTGTCGCTGCCGGAGTCACACAGACACGAACCGAAGGTTTTGCATTCCACTGTGGGAGTATAACTCCACTATAAGGCAGGAAGCTCATCAGAGGGTGGTGAGGTTTTCTGCCAGGTAATATAGGCTGTATCCGTTACACACTATACAGCAGAGGTTACAAAGTGAGGACAGCAGGTGGTACAGCCACAGCCGACCGCTCAGCTTTTTATACTTGGGGTCCGTCTCGCAGAGCTTGGCGTAGGCTTCCCGATTGGACGAGAGTCCGATGTCCTGACCCAATCCACAGGCCTGCTCAATCAGGTGCATGTCCGCCATGATTTCCGAGGTCATCTGACCAAACCACTGGGCGTTCACTGCCGCCACAGTCACACACACAAAATAAATTAAGATCTGGGGAGAAACCAGAAAGCTAGTAGAATCAAGAGAGAGTCTGTCATCTTACATAAAGGTTAGTTCACCTAAAAAATCATTGTTTATTCATCCTCATGTCATTCCAAACATGTATGATTTCCTATTTTCCATTTAACAAAAAAAGAACATATTTTGAAGAATGCGCTGGCCGCTCTTTTTCATGCAACCGGAGATTCAAAAAGCATAAAAGTACTGAATGAGAGTCGACTTTTATGGCTTCAGAAGAATATACTGTAGCGCACAATAGCTTTGTGTGAGAAACAGAATTTAAATCTTAACATTCACGAATTCATGAGAGAAGTAGAGATGCTCGATTCAATTCATTCTTTTGACTCCGATTTTAGTCAATAAATCAGCAGTCAGTTCATAAAACCAATTATTTGTTAATGTATCTGACTGATTCAGTTAAAGTTCAATTCACTGACTCAAGGATTGAATCACAGCGGTTCTCAGCTCATTAAGATTATCAATGAATAATGTGCTGTGTCTCTAACTCACATGACTTCAGAAGACATAAATAAATATCATTTATCACTTTTATGGTGATCTTGTGACCTTTTTGAAGCTTGAACGCCGCAGTCGCCATTTATTGTAATTTAATGAATAAAAGTGACAAGCACATTTTTCAAAATCTCTTCTTTTTATGTTCCAAAGAGGAAAGGAAGTCATGAGGGCCATTCGTCATTTTAGGATGAACTATTTCAGGAACATCTTTTCACATATCGGGGAACATTTTGTTTTGAATACCTGGAAGGCCTCTTTGTCATCCAGCATGTTGCTGGGATGGTACATAGCGAAGATGGTGAGGTTGAAGAAAGCGCAGGCTGAGCCGATATGCAGGTAAAACGGGAAGAGCCGGCTCTGGATGAAGCCAAACGTGTGTCGGTTTAGATGGTTGTCCATAACAAAGCCTGAGCAAAACAAAAGTACAAATCAAGACAACCTTTAGGACTGTGCATATTCTAAACCTTATATTTGAATACATTTGTATAAATGTATGTAACTACCCTTGTGAAAAAGTAAGTACATTTAGCATACTTTTAAACAGGAGTACTTATTACAGAAATAATATCCTTTAAAAGAATTTACTTAAGTGTGAACTGAATGTAAAGTTTTCAGACACTTGACTGCATGTTATTTACAATTAAATAAAAATGTTTTTAGTTGAAATGAAAATACATTTAAGCGCAATGAAAGGGTACTCTCTGCAAGTACACCTAAGTGGCCTTTTATTTCATTAATAAATATGGGGGTGAAACAGTGACCACACCTACCCGATATAAAGGTGACCCATATCTGCATTCCCCAGAAGGTGGAGAGAAACACGAGGTGAAGGAGTTTAGCAGTGACAGGAGGCTCTCTGTCGGTAGTCATTGTCACGGGCACACTATCGTCTTTCACCTCCCTCACTCACTCACTGTCACTGTGACGGAAAAATCATTCATACATCAGGTTTATGTAAGAGTTAATGTCTTGTACAAGTCTTAAGGCATGTACTTAATGTGATGCACACTACAAAACACACTCTGCGTTATAAACAAAAGAGGTGGAGGCACTCACCTTTCACCCACATAAGTAACAGGGCATAACATAATGGAACAAACTTTCTTAAAATAAGATCTGCCATCTAATATGAATCATAACAGGTACACTGACTAACAAATTAAAGGGATTGTTCACCCCTAAAATGAAAACTTTGTCACCCTCACCATGTTGTTCCTCCTCCTAACCCAGAATAACAACCCCAGAAACCAAAAATATGCCAAGAAAGTGAAGGGTGACTGAATCTGCCTAACATGTTTGTGTTCCACAGCAGTCATACAAAGGACATGAGGGTAAATAATTGACAAATGTTCATTTTTGGGTGAACTGTCCCTTTAAGATTCGTATGCGTGACTGCACTGCACAACGTGTGCTCTTTTATTGTGCAAAGGCCGATTCACAAACGCCATGTCCAGAATGTAGGCTGTGTCTCAAAAGCTACTGAACTGCCTAACGTTACCTAGACTGCATTTTCGGTTGGTTCCGAGTCCGCATATACATCTGCACGCGTCTATAATGCCCCGAAAGTAACTTACTACTGTCTATGTAGGGGGCTCACTAGTTGTTGAGACACAGCGACGGTGTCCAAAAACCTCCAAAGCTTCCGTTTAAGCACCGCGACTATTTCCAACAGAGCATTTCCATTAATGTTTTAAACTGGCACCGACTTACAGTACAAGACAGAAAAGCTCTCGCAGCACGTAATTTGTGTTGCGATCTTGAAAGCTATACCTGTAAGGTTATGACAGGCTGGATATCATTACAGCTACATGCTTTTTCACCATGATGTCGATCTACTTACCGGACGATCACCAGTCACTATGTAAATCGTCGTTGGCCGGTTGATAGAACACCATAAATGTACGATGAAGGAGGAACCGGTCTGCAGCTGTAGTAACTCTCGGACTGTGGCAGTCAAGCCGGTGGGCGGGGTTTATGCGTGTTGCGTATGCGGTTGGGCGTGGTTTGTGTGTTTCTGTTATTGTTGGGCGTGGTTTTGTATACTGGTGGGCGTGCTTTATGTGGATGCTTTTTTGATTACGGTAATTCTTGATTAAGGAAAAGGTATTTTGATACATTTACATACACACATTTTGCTGTCTATATGGGATATATAGAAAAAAATACAAACAAAATATGTTTAGTCATATTTAGCTCACTTCTGGGTATTTGTCCTGAAAAAAATGGTTAAGCACACACAAACATTTGGCTATAAATGTAGCCTACGTTTAAAAACGTATCTTATTATTATTTAAATAAGTAAATTATTTGGACAACACGTTTGATATGTCAGCAGTTGAGAATGTTGGGCCTATTCACCTCAACAAAGGACCAGATAACTGATAAAGAGTTTAATTATAGCTGTTCTGACTGTAAAAAATTAGAGGATTCACTCCCTCCTTCACTTCACTTCACAGGGCATGTTCAAACTGGTGGATTCATTAGTGCTCAACATGTCATTGGTCTGTATTTAATGGGTGTGAATGAGCCAAGGGCAGGGTAACTCTCTTGGGCGCTTTCTTTACTGTTTGTCCCACTGCTTTGATCAACAATTATTCAGGGCAATTACCATGTGCAACTAAAGGAGAACAAAAACAGAAACACCAGGGACTTCATGAACATTTGTGAGTGGATTTGTTAATGTATAATAGAAAAGACACCTTGGGCCAGACTTTGACAATGTCATAACTGAATTCGAACAAGCTTAGCGCATATACCTGTCAAAAGTTTGGAAACATATTTTTTTTGTTTTTGAAAAAAGTATCTTATGCTCACCAAGGCTACATGTATTTAATAAAAAACAATACAGTAAAAACTAATATTGTTGACATATTATTAGTTTAAAAGAATTGTTTTCTATTTGAATATATTTTAAAATGTAATTTATTCCTCTGATGCAAAGCTGAATTTTCAGCATCATTACTCCAGTCTTCATACTTCAGAAATCTTTCTTTGATTTGGTGCTGAAGAAACATTTACTATTCTTATTACCAATGTTGAAAACAGATTTTGCTGCTTAACTTTTTTTGTGAAAACAATATTCAAACATTTGTGGTCAGATTTAAAAAAAAAAAAAAAAAGAGAGAGAGAGAAATGAATACTTTTATTCAGTAACGATGCATTAAATTGATCGAATTTAAAATTGAAGATTTAAAATGTTACAAAAGATTTATGTTTCAAATAAATGCTGTACTTTGAAAATGTGTATATATCAAAGAATCCAGAAAAAAATGTATCTCAGTTTCAAAAAAGAAAAGAAAAAGAAAATAGCACAACTGTTTTCAACATAATAATAAACAATGTTTGTTGAGCATCAAATCAACATATTAAAATTATTTTATAAAGGGTCAGAAATCGTGGGTACATGCTGATTCATTTTGAATAATGAATCCATTGCCTCACATTTGAAATCTAAGAAACCTTATTTTGTGAAATAATGTGCTTGTGCCCTATTTTGATAAAATGAATGCTTTGATATTTTTTGTTAGATGATAGATAGATAGATAGATAGATAGATAGATAGATAGATAGATAGATAGATAGATAGATAGATAGATAGATAGATAGATAGATAGATAGATAGATAGATAGATAGATAGATAGATAGATAGATTTATGCACTCAAAATACATAGATTGTCAATGTTGTGATTGAACCTTTTCTCTTACCGTAATCTGGCAACTTTTCACCTGGCATGTGGGACCAAAGAAAAGACTTGAAGGTATAATTCAGTCACTAGAGGGAGACATGGGAGAAGTGTTGTATCCTTAAGCGTTTTCCGTCATTTATGTGCATTTTGATGACTGATTATAGATATTAGTGAAGATTTGTATGATGGTTTAGTTTTGGAGGCATATTATAATGTTGCCAAAAAAAGAAAAATGTTCTCTTGAAGCAAAGATTTTTAATTAATATATGATATGGAGGTGACTGCAACAAGGTATTATCTTAAAGTGCAGGCATCATGTTACAGGGAGAGACTGGGAGCAGCTAATGTTCATTTGGACTAGATGGATGATATTTTTTATATATTCCTCAGCCATAAATCCACTCCAACCCAGCCCATACACATTAAGCACTGCCATCAAAACCAAAAAAAAAAAAACTCTGCAGAAGCTCCATTATTAGATACTGAACATTTATATTGATCAAAGCTGAATTCAATATCATCAACAGCAGGACAGTCTATGGTTTAAATTATTCATTTTAATGGATATTTTGAGACTGCCAAGTATGTGACATCCAGCACACTGAAAATACAAATACAGAATATATACTGTGTGAACAGTATAAAAGGGCAAAAACAAGTTCAGAAGGCCGCAAATATATTTAGATAAAAAATAAATAAAAAAAAGGTTTATGTTTTTAGACTATGTAACTGAAAATAACTAATAAGTAATGACAAAAGTAATTTCATAATAAGCACAAATATTTTTTCATATTAAAAAGTGGTACATTATGAGTCGAAAACAAATGCTAAACACATTCACAAACGGTGCCAGGCGTATATTAAGTGCTTTAATGTTTTTAGTATATAAAATATCCCTTTCAACACACCTCAAAAATGAATTATGTTAGATATTGTTAAGACATCTAGTGTGAGGTAGGAAACATTGACAATGTAGGAAAATAAATCATTTGTTCTTAAATTTCATTTGTTTTAATAATCATTGGTAATTATGGAAGCTCATTTCCACCATGAAATAAAAAAAGATGTTATTGCGGAATTTTTTCTCTCACAATTGCGAGTTTGTCTATATTAAAAAAAGGGGAAAAAAACAATTTTTATATATATATATATATATATATATATATATATATATATTCTAGGCCTATATAGCTTCAATAGTAGCTCTTATAATACATGTTTGTCATATGATGCTTAACAGATCATTAGTCGACGTTTTCTAAAGTAGATTCATTTATAATTCATATTTGTTTACATTTGAATGTACATAAACTACTGATCTGTTAAGCACCATATTGTTTAAAGGTTAAACTTTCAAAAAATAATAAGGGCCTTTATTTTTTTTTTGTCTCAAATACAGACATAGAGTTGAAAAAGGGGTTGAATTTGAAACTTAGCTGGTGTTCCTTCAAGAAATAAGAGTATTTGCCCTTTAAGTGTATCTGCCCCAATTTGCTCATGTTCTTCAGCAAAAGCGTTGTACAGTTTATTTGGCCGTTTTGCTGGTCACACCTTTCAGGTTTGCTTTGATTCAGTGTCTTGCAGACTTGCAGATTTTGTCAAATACTTCAGGAAATGCATCTTTACAGTCGAGCTGCTCTCTGAGTTTATGATACAGTGTTCCATCGAACATCTCCCAGAATTCCTGTCGTTCCATGTATACATCAGCATACAGCATCTGGAATCTAGATATGGAAGTGTTGTGTTATAAAATACCTCTGTGACAATAACATTTTAAAGACTTTTATCACAGACAATTTTACTGAATTTCAAAACTTGGTTATTGAAATTTAGGCCTGTCTTTACCAACTAATGGAAAGGTGAAAAGTGATAACTGACCCATGAACCTCTCTAACAAACTTCTCCAGCTGGCGCGTGGATGATTTGGCTTCAAAGTGTTTGACTTGGGGCTCCCCATACGCTCCGATATCAACATACAGTTCATCTTCATTTCCTTTAGGATGCACCATTCCCGGCTGATTGGGCAGCATGAAGGGACACAGCCACAGAGGATACACCTACAACACACATTACCATGAGAAAATGCACTAAATGTAGTACATTCCATATACACTATCATTCAAAACGTGGGATCAGTCAAGTTTTTTTTAGGGCAGTCAAATGATTAATCACAATTAATCACATCCAAAATAAAAGTTTTTTTTACATAATATATGTGGGTGCACTGTGTATAATTATTTTGTATATATATAAATACACACACATGCATGTATATTTTTTTAGAAAAAAATATTATTTATATATAAAATATTTATATATAATATAAATTATATATAAATCTATATACAGTATATACATGAAAATATTTCTTAAATATATACAAGCATGTGTGTGTATTTATATATATAAAATAATTATACACAGTGCACCCACATATATTATGTAAAAAAAACTATTAATCATTTGACAGCCCTAGTTTTTTTTTATTATGTTTTTGAAAGAAGTCTCTTCTGCTCACCAAGGCTGCATTTATTTGATCAAAACAGCGATACTGTGAAATATTATTACGATTAAAAATAACTTTTCTTTTTGAACACATTTTAAAATGTAATATTCTTGTGATCAAAGTTGAATTTTTCAGAATCATTACTCCAGATTTAATTAGCTATGTTTCCATCCAAAATTGGAATATCGCATAGCCAGAGTCTGTCGTCAAAGTTATTCTAAAACAACATTTCAGATGCTTTGCAACTAGACCTGTCTACTGGTTGGTCCAGTTATGCCGTCACATTGTGCAAAGTCACATGACTTTTTGATGCGCATTGAGGAATTTATTTGGTAAATGTGTTTCCATCATTATGCATTATGTTTTCTTACTGGATTAAAAAAAAATTGATCCGCCTCAAGTGAGCGCATACGTTTTTTATGCACATTTTTAAATTAATGCTCATCTTGGCATTTCTTTATGTGATATCCCAAAATTTGCATACAAATGGTGAGTATGATGAGTATTTTCTCCTTAAAACTGCATTGAACCAAAGACAGTCTCAAAAACGCGGTTTGAAATCGCGTACCAATCATGTCAATGTGTGATCGTCAACGAGTGGATCTCTGAGCTGGTGTGAGTGAGTGGAGGCGGGGCTAATTTGCATATTCATAGAACCGCGTATACTAAATGACGCAAGGGTTCATCGTTACATTCAAGCTATTTTAAGGCATGAAGAATTTTCTCAAGGAAAAAAAAGGTTTAAATATGCAATTTTGGTGATCAAGGGTGAGTTTTAAGGTTTTCAGTTTCATTGATAATGTTACAAAAGATTTCTATTTCAAATAAATGCTGTAAACTTTCTATCCATCCCGAAAAAAGTTTTCACATAAATAAGCAGCAAAAACTGTTTTCAACATTAATAAACATAAGAAGCATTATTAATAATTGAGCACCAGTAATATGGATGATAATCATCATATGATTTCTGTGATTATGTGACTGAAGACTGGAGTAATGATGCTGAAAATTCAATTTATCATGCATAAATTACACTTAAACATATTAAAACATATTAAAATGGAAAACAGAAATGTAAAAATGAGTGTATTGGCTTTGTTTGACATTGTTCTGACTTGGCTGATTTAGAGCTGTTCAGTCTCTAGTCTGGAAGAGAATTAGCTTTTTGAGTCCCGTGAGAATTTCTAATGTGTTTTCGGAAATAACAGCTTTCGATTTTTGAGTAAAATAAAGTCTGTGGTGAGCATTACCGGAACAGACTTTCATATAAACAAATATATTTTGATGCCTGCTTTTTTCAATATATAAAGAATTCTGTATTAAAACTTTAGCATGTTTTAAAATAATAATGACACACAAAAAAAGTGCAGATTTATAATATTAGCTATCAGTTGATTTGTCAACACATTTGTGTGCGTGTTTGGTTGTCTCACGTGTATGTCCTCGTGGAAGCGAAGGATGGAGCTCTTGATGTGTTTCATGGGGACCAGCATGTCCTGCACCACATGGTGCTGCTCGTACAGTTTGCGGATGGTCTCTCCCTGTGTGAGCTTCAGCAGAGAGATCTTAGGAGGAACCATCCAGCCGAACACATACCTGAACAACGGGTTATTCCCAAACGGAATGATGTCCTGAAAAACAGACGACGAGGAAATGGTGGAAGGAAATGTGATTGAAAAGCAAACCAAAGTTTACATGTTTGATAGATGAAAAAGTAAAGGGGAACAAGATATAGAATAAGACTGACCGATGAATATGTTTACACGATTATTTTCTATTATTATTAAGCGCTGTCAGCAAATGCAAGAATATGTGTCCATGTACAGCATTCTTTATGATCACAAGAGTCATGTTTGAATGTCAAAGCACACTCCTGACCTGAGCTTTAGCTGCATAATTTATTGAGTAATGTTAGACTAGTGCTGCCAATCAAAAGACAACGCATGCTTCCTGTAGCTAATGGAAGGCTTCAGTGGAAATAATGCATCAAAACTGTGTGTGAGAATGTTTGAGAGTGAGACAAAAGGGTAAAGTTGCTTTATTAAGATGGAAGAGAAGAATAACAGTTGTCTCTTTAACTATGCATTATGGGACAAGTGAAAAATGCTTACGCTAATGCAACCCATAGAGGAGGAAGTGTGTGTCTGACTAAGTGTTTCAAACTCTTGATGCATTTGAAATGTACAGTCCACCACAAACCAAAAGCCAAATTGAGAGTTAAAACTATGGCTGTCTCGAAAAGAGTCTGATATTTTTAATATCCCAAATGCAAAGCAAGATGATGACATATATTGCTATTATTTCTTGAAAAACAAATATGAAAAAAGGCATATTTGTTGAGTGATTTACTTGTAGTTCCCAGAAAATGCTGCGGGTGTGTCTGTGGTAGTAGTGCCGGAGAGGAATGTACTCCACTGCTACACGGTTCTGCTTGAGGAAACCCTCCACATGCCGAAAGAACCACGGCTTGAAATAGTAACCTATACAGTTAGTCTAACAGACAAAGGGGAAGACAGAGAGAAAAAGAATCTGATTGAAACTACAATGGGGATTAATTGTAAATGTTTTCATAATAATCACACCAGTGTTATTGACAAAGTGGGCCTTTGCCAATATGTGAACAGGCATGGAAGCTTGTTTCCGCCACAGAATAAAAAAAATAAAAAGGTATTGCAAATTTTTATCTCATAATTGCGAGTTTAACACTCAATTCTGACCTTTTTTCTCAGAATTTTGTTTAAAACTCAATTCTGCCTTTTTTTCTTCTTAGAATTGCGAGTTTAAAACTCAAATCTGACTTGCTTTTCCTCACAACTGCAAGTTTAGCAGAATTCAGATTTTTTTTTCTCCTCAGAATTTCAAATTTTAACATGAAATTTGGACTTTTTTCTCACAACTGTGTTTAACGCTCAATTCTGACTTTTTTTCTCACAATTCCGAATTTAACAGAATTTCGATTTTTTTTCTCAATATTGTGAGTTTAACATGTAATTCTGACTTTTCCCTCACAATTGTGTTTAACAAGCAATTCTGACTGTTTTTTTTTTTTTTTTGCAAAATTGTTCAATATAAACAAAATAGAAAAATAGTCATAATTGTGAGATAAAAAGTCGCAATTACCTTTATTATTTTTTTAATCCATGGCAGCTTCCATAGATGGGTCATATAAAAAGTACTAAACCATTCAGATTACAGAATTTTCATTATCACCTTGTCAGGCTCTGCATAATCTGTCATGGTGCCCGTCATAATCACGGCCTCGTCCCGAGAGTACTGCAGTCCCTCCACAAACTGGTTCTCCTTATTGGCTGATTCCTCTGCAAACTTCTTGCAAATAGCATCCAAGCCTCGTACAGGCTCGTAACAAAGCTTCACCCATTTTCGAGCTGGAATTATCCGGATCTCCGCCGCAACCAGAAACCCCAGAGTCCCGCAGGACCAAGGAACGGCATAGAACAGGTCAGAGTTTTCCTTCTGTGAGCAAGAATTTTGTTTTAACAAAGATTTTTAACATATCTATGTGTGTATTTTCTATACTCTGTAACAATGGACTCACCTCAGTGCAGCGGACCAGACTACCATCAGCCAACACCAGCTCAAAGGCCACACAAATGTGCTGGAACAGGCCGTAGATGTGAGATGAAGACTCAATGCCTGTTCCCATTACCAGCCCACCTGAATCATGAGACACACTTTCAAACACTTGATGGGGACAAACATAGCCCAAAAATACACTGATGATATATCTGGAATGCAAATTTGGAAAAGTGCCAAATGGGAGCTAAAAAGAAAGGATCAAAAGTCCAAATAACTGACCTTTGATTGCAGATGCACAGCTCTAAACTGCTTTTAGAAATGGTATTGGATAAAACGATTGCTTTGATACGCTGCTTACAGTTTCAAAGATATAGGAATCAATACATGTGGCCAGAAATTTCTCCTGTCGTCCAACACTTCACAAACACAACACACCTTTCCCATGTCTTATTACTAAGCACTGTGTCTCTACAGAATTACAAATGAATTTGAAGGAGAGTGAGTATAAAACAATTCTCCGCCAATGAGCGCTCTTTTCTGGGATCTATAAACACTTTCAGCAATAGGACCCGTATCCGCCCCAAATCTAATCTGCCTCATTGAAACCTGATTAGGAGCAGCCTCTGATGCACCACACATGACATATAATATTGATCAGGAGAGAACGTTACGCTCCATTTAAAGAAAGCGAATATCTGCAAGTGCTCAGAGACATTAAACAAATCCCTTGCGGAGCATGCGGAAAGAGAGGGAGAGATGATTCAGGTCAGAGGTGACTTACAATCTTCATCTAAATGGAGAGAAGTGTCACGGTGTGCTGAGTAGAAAATGCTCAAATGCATCTAGACGCCACATAAATAAGAGTTTGCTGTAATCTGAGGCTTAGTAACAAACAACTAGGCTTAACACACAGATGCTGGGAAAGTCTGTGAACCCTTTTTGTGAATGTATTATTGAATTTATCCAGTCATGTGCAAGGGTTCACATACTCTTCCCAGCAAATTTACCATTGCTGAATTTCAGCTCCGGAGGCTTCCTCAGCACTTGTGTACACAGTGATACTAACAGTAACGATGGTGTCCTTTTCCTTTTGAAGTGCATGCAAAGTGGATTTGCTTTCATAACGCTGACAACATTTTCTTCTCGACATGTCGACAACGTGAACCAAACTCTAGAAACCAAACCAAAGATGTTGTTGAAGGAAAAAAAAATTCTCCTAACATTGGTTCTTGGTAAATCTATTATGCACTTTGATCTTTTGCTGACCTTCACAAACAGCTATATCACACTACATGAAAGATAACATCCAAAAAAGCACAATAAAAGGGCACTTTAAACATTTGTTTAATTATAGATTCTCTCTCATAACCTACCAACTGTGAGGTCATCAAGTTCAGGCAACACAGGCAGTGTCCAGCCAATAGAGTTGAGCAGAGCGGTCACCTGACCCATGTTAGCTAAAGGTTCAACACGCACCACCTGGAAAATTGGTAAACGCTTGATTTGTTGTTTGTAACAATGGTAAATTTCCTCTCTTTACATTAACTTTAATAATCACATATGATGCTAATTCTTTTTGAAATTCTTATCTACATACATTTTTACTGTCCACTGAAAGCATTTTCTTTCCAAACTTTTAATGAGGAGAAGATATCTATTTTGCCGTTTAAAAAAAGCATATTTGGCAACAGCTACCTGCCGTTTTGTGTCCACCTCCAGGATGTCCATCATGTTAATCATGATGTTCTTGTGCGTCTTCTTGTATTTTCCCACCCTGAGGGACACAGTCAACCATCCTGGACGACCTGTGCACATATATTTCTTCTTTCCCCCCTCTTTTTTCCATTCTCGCACCTGGAACATTGAAATCATCACATTTTATTAAAATCAAATTGCATCAAAGTCTCATCAACTTTAATTCTTTTTTTTCTTCTTTTTTTTTTACATTTATTCCGCAATAACCACAATAAAACAGCTGCACTATTTTGTATATCTTTCACATAAACTATGTTTCAAGTAATTTCAAGTTCAATTTGATTTGTTCGTGACCAAAAGTGATGTAATTTACTGTGTAATCAGTCAATTTTTTTAATCAGTTTGACATATTCACATTTGTGCAGCTTACATTTTTAGTTCAGTTTCATATTTTCAGTTTTTTTTTTTTTTTTTTTTTTTTTTTTTTTTTAGTGTTGGTAATTTTGTTATGTGCTAGCTAGTTAGTTTTAATATTTCTATGCCGCATTCATTTATTTTTATTTCAGTTTTAGAAACTTTAGTACTACTTTATTTCCATTCAAAGTTTTCTTTTTAATATTTATATTTTATTTTAGCTTACTTCAGTTACCAGAAGCGATTTTGAATCGTTTTACTTTTAGTTGCCATGACAGGTGCACCAAAGCTGTTATTGTCGAATAGTAGGGGGCGTGTCACTGACTTTTGGCCACGCCCCTGTCACCCCATTATAACCGCGACCTGTATGCTTGCTACTTTTTATTACCGTATTTTAAAAAAACAAAATCAGAAATCAGAAGAGGCACCCGCCTAATGGATAAGGCACATTTCATGTTTTCATGCATATTCATTAGTATTAGGCTCTCTACTACATGAATTTCACATTTTAATGCAGAATGCATGATCACTGATGTAGGCTACTGAATAAATATTGAACAGAAAAATACAATCAGATCCTGATTTGCTTTAGTGCAGTATTGAAGTTTAATATATTCATACTACATATTTGAAAGTACAGTAGGCTATAAAAATCTCTGAATAAGCTAAAGCAGGATGTTTTGCCGTTACCTGTCTCTGGATGTCTCTGACTCGCTGGTCGTGCTGTTTGGGCGCTGAGCACATCTTGAAGATGATCCATGCGCGCAGGTAATAGTACACATCAAATATCACGGATAAGGGAAGGAGAAAGAGGCAAACAAAGATCCATCTCTGGTGTACTATCACGTACTCCAAGCCCTTTACTTTAATCCATAATAAAAACAAAACAACTAACCCACCCAAATATAACAACGGATCCATTCCGACAGCTTTTTAAATCACGAGTCGCCTAATTTCAAAGGAGTTTAAGAGAGCTTGTTTCTTAACTTTGCTTTGGTAAATGCTTTTATTTGTATTTATAACGGACGAACATAAAAACACATGCATTAACGCGGTCTAATAAACTGTCATTTCATTCGACTTGTATTCGTTATGCGACCTTTCTCACTACTTGCACGCTTACGATTTGTCATTATATTTTGCATGTATTTTCCAGGTGGTCTGAGCACCGCCCCCAGCATGCGGTGATTGGTCAGTAGAGCGTCAAATCAGATGACGCCAGTGGTTTCGTATCGTCTCTTCAGCCAATCACAAGAAAGAATCACCGTCACACCATTGACTCGGTGCGATGAGTTCATTCATTATCATGCAGCAACTGAGAAATGAGGTGACTGACTAGAGTAGGTTACAGGCACATGTCTGACCTGCTGAGCTTATCTCTTGATATTTTTTAAGGATAGAATTTAAAAGATTGTTCAAATACTATAAAGTGCTATTTTATCGAATTCTTTTCCAGGTTTAGCACAGCAAGGTGTTTTTTTTAGCGGTTTCTAACTTATTAAAATAAGGTCCAAGGCTAACATTAACTTTAGGCTACTTGAACGTTCTGAGAACATTATTTTAATGGTTGTAAAAAAAATAAAACCTAAAAGGCACGTTCCTAGAACATTTGATATTTTTCGCAAAATATAAACAAAAATTTAGCTACAGTACCCTACTGTCAAAAGTTTGGAAACATTAGCCTACTTTTAATGTGTTTGAAAGAAGATTTTTCTTCTCATCATGCCTGCATTTATTTGATAAAAAATAAAAAAATAAACCGTAATATTGTGAAATATTATCATCATATTAGAATGATTTGTGAAGGATCATGTGACACTGAAGACTGGAGTAGGCCTAATGATGCTGAAAATTCTGCTTTGCATCACAGAAATTAATTATATTTGAAAGTATATGAAAATAGAAAACCATAATTTTTAAATTCTAATAATATTTCACATTATTACTGTTTTTTACATAGGTATATGGTATGTGTGTGTATATATATAAACAGTATATATATATATATACATATACATATTTATGTATGTGTGTGTGATATATATATATATATATATATATATATATATATATATATAACTATGTATGTATATATATATATATATATATATATATATATAGCTGTATGTATGTATATATATAAATATATATAATATATAAAGAAAAATCTAAAATTTATCAACTGGATTTTCATTTGAACCTGTTTATACGAAACAAATCTCTTTTAAAAAGGTGTAAGGTCGCCATGTAGCCTACACTAAATATCTCCTTTAAGGATCTATATGACTTCTTGTTGGGAATCATAATTTTAAATTCATGCCAATAAGCATCTGGCCTACAGACGGCTCTTGGGTGGGGCATGAACTCTAATGATGCTCTTATAATGACAGAGGAGTTTGACAGCAAAGCAGCTGCGCTCATTTGACAGCATGGACTAAACCTGATGCGCGTGAACGGCAACTCCATCGAGTGCAGGCGATGTTACATTTCTATAATGCCTTTTATGTCCTTTTTTTTTTTAGCTAAGTGACTAAAATCAAGACAGTGTGTAATATGAAACTATTTCCTTTAGAATTGAACCAATGCAGAACGGTTCACCCTGGAGTCTCGATATCACCCTGAAGCTGGAAGATGCGCGCGGACTATTCCAGATAGATCAATGATATGAACTTACATTATGCCTTCACTACATCATGGCGCTATTTTTATTGGAGTATTTTTAATAGTCACCGGTGGCTCCACCGCTTTTCTAACTTCTAATCAAAGTCGACTGCAGGCGTTCAGCATGTGCTGTGTGGTGCTCGGGGCGGTGATGCTCATTTTAGGACTTTTCTGGGCTATGAACGGCAAGAGAACCCCGGTGCCTTATAATGAAGAGTACAGCCACGACTACAGTCAAGTCATGTTCACCCCACCGGCCGGGAACCACATCCCCGAATCCCAGTCCGTCTTTCTGCACGGGTAAGTGGACAATCGCATCATAAATGATCATAAACTGATGTTTGATCAAATGAAATCAACGCAGAAGATAAAATCAGTTTGAGCAATTTATGATTCATATAGCCTAGGAGGTTCCATCGAAAAGTGCGTTATAAATAGAGTCATACTTATTATCAACCTTTGCAGTTTGAGGGACCCCCAAAATCTCAGTCAAAAAAAGACAGATTTTCTCAGTAGCCTAACACTTCGTGAAAAAAAAACACGTTTTGTATTATTAAAGTAGCCTATCCGTAAATGTGCACGTATAAACTCATCTCCATTTTAATGCAGCTTTTTTTAAATTACAAAGTAAAGTAGAAAGGTTACACTTTTTAAGGTGCCCTTGTTGTTACAGTGTAATAAGTATAGTTATATTATATATACATATATATATATATATATATATATAGTTATATTTATTGAGTTATATTAATTAAGGCCTATATGTAGGCTACTTACTGTAGGGTTAGGGTAGGATTAGGGCTTGATTTATGGTTAGTTGCATTGGATGTAATTATGCCTTAGTTATTGATAGTGAATACATGTAACCTGTGTAACAAGGACACATTAAAATAAAGTGTTACATATAAAGTTGCAAATTATAAGAAACTACTTTGTTACACATTTCATGAATAATATCCTAATTCTTATAGGCTGCAGTGTGTTGTATTATTGTACTTATTCCAACACCCAGAAAGCTAACTTAATCTCTCTGAACTTAAACTTCCTCTTACAAACCTTTTAACACAGGTTCAAAACATGGAAATAATTGTACTTTTCCACCCATAACCCTTATCCATCCAGATTTGAGCCATATCCCTTTCTTTTCCCCCTCTCCCCCACCCTCAGATGTCATTAAAAATCACTTAGATGAGAAGTCTAAGAACTGCTGCTGCTCCTCTGCGCTGTTATCTGATACTGAAAGGCCCTCTAGTGTTGATCAACTGTATAAAACCTTTCATTTAGGTCCCAGTTATCCAGGTCCAGAGTAATATATATGTATATATATTATAAATATTTATATTGATATAGTATGATCGTATTAATACTAATAATGTGTGATTGTATTTTGAAGGACTGTGCAAAGGCGATGTGTATATGGTGATGATTTGGACTATCCCCCCATGGAGCCAGCCTGCTTCAGCCCTACCAGTCGGGGTCGGCCTCCTCACTGGGACATGGAACCTCCTCCGCCTTATGAGGTGGCCATCAAAACCACTAGGAGCTCCACACACCTGAGGCGCAGCTACTCGGACACACAGCTGCTCACTGAACCTCTGTTTGGACGCTCACGGGAGATCAGTTTCGAAGTGTGATATCTGTTCATCCCTTGAGACCCGAACTGAGGAGCTGAACCACCCTAAAATATTCACAAACAAGTGTTGATGAAGCTACGAAACAGGCATTAACAATCCACAGCTCGCAGAGGGGGTGTTTTGGGCCTCTTGAGATGGTTTTCGTCTTAACCATTAACAGCCTTTTCTCAACTAAAATGCATTATAAATTTAAAATCTATTCGTAAGCTATTGGAAATATGTGGTTTATCTCTTATTAAACACAATGTAATGCATTTTACAAGAGATGTGGCTTTAATTTTAGGTAGGCCTACTGTCTCCCACTCTTTCAATAACCGATCACTCACATTTTAGAAAATATTCTAATGCCTGAATGTTTGAAGCACACCTTATACTTAAAAAATTAGCTTCTACATGGATGCTAATGCAGTCTGCCAGAGCCAGTGAACCACAAGATGTCAACATAAAGTGCTATACAGTACATTATCATATTAGTGTATATATTAGTGCTGTCAAATCGATTAATCGCGATTAACCACATCTAACATAAAAATTTTGTTTATATATATATAAATATATATATATATATGTATATGTGTCTGTGTGTGTGTGTACACACCTATTTATGTATGCATATATATACTGTATATATATATATGTGTGTGTGTGTGTGTGTGTTTGTATATGTATATATATTTATACACACACACACACACACACACACACACACACACACACACACACACACACACACACACACACACACACATATATATATATATATATATATAATTTATGAATAAATATAATCATATATGCACATACAAAAACGTTTATGTTAGATGCGATTAATTGATTTGACAGCACTAATATATATATATAGTTTTTGTTAATATTGGTGGATTTAATGAACCAAGGGAATATAAATGTTTATGTTGTTCCTATATATACTGTATATATACACACACATACAGGTTAATAACCAATATTAACAAAACATATTTACTTTTAATTATTTCACATAGTAAAGGTAAATATATATATTTACATTCACATAAATAATAAAACAAGTTCATATCCATAAATCCATTCAATAGTAATATTCACAAAACATCACATTTATACACAATTCATAGGATTTTCCAAAATATTTAAAATTTAAAAGTATTTAGAGTACTTCCTTTTAACTAGCCAGTGCACTTGGCATCCGAATTGCTTTCTGGCAGTGATGTGGATGATTTTTTTGGAAAGAGAGAATGTTTTGTTTGTATATTTATTCATTTTTTAGACTCTCAGGGCAAAATATTGTGTTTAGTCAAGAGAATATTTTCATGGGATAGCCTGTATAAGCACACAGTTTTCACAGACTCAAAAATCAGATCACTTTAGAGAACTGGCCAGAGTGATGATTTATGCATAAGGCACACATTGTGGTGCCTGATAATGGGAGTACATCTCTGCCGAGAAAACCCACACAGCATTACTGAGTTTAATGATGAACTAATGCCCTGTTAATATTGTTTGGAACACTATAAAACATGGCATTCACGGCCACTACTTCCTCTGACTCACCCATTATAATGATTTTCATCTTTTAACAAAGACACTTCTGGGTATTCTCTACCTTCTGCATATTTACGGTGCGTTTCCTTTGAACTGCAATGAATAATCTGCCGAGGGCTGTTTACATCAGTTTTGTGTGCATGCAAGACTTTAGAAATGCTGTACTTTTTTTGTTTGTTTGTTGTTTTAAAGGATAAACTAGACCCAGTTCCTTTTTCATATGTGGTATGATTGAAAAGTAAACAGTATATGATTACAAACTTCTGCATATTGTCATGGAGTGCAGAATATTTGACATAACAGCTGAAGATCTTATACCATCAATGACAAAGTGGCAAAAAAATTAACATTATGCTCTTTAAATGTCTCATACTTTTTTAATACCTCCGTGAAGAAACGAGTATTTATGTCAGTTTCTACATTTTTTTAAATCTGTAAATCCTAGATTGGCTGTGTAAAATTTAAACGGATAAATATACAATACACACAATTTATGACACTTTAAAAAAAAGTTACACTACAGTATATAACTGTATGCATTTTGCTGAAGAACAGTGTTTTGGTTTTGCTTCGGCTCTGCGGATGAATTATCCTTCTGCTCATAAAACATTACCAGGCCAAGAGGTGTAAACAGTTTAGATGGAAAGGACCTCAAGCTGACTAGCTGAAGACAACAACAACCATAATGAAATGACCCTTCACAATAGATAATGCTTTACAATGAACTCTGTTAGAGCTTCATATGACAATTTATCTGTTCAATAAAATACTTTACTCACCTGTTGAGTTATAAAAACACCATCTCCGCGTTGCTTTTACAACATTTCAAATCCCTCAGTTCTCGCCAAAAGGCAAGCCATTGTTGATTCTTGTTTTATTTCGAGCTCTGTCATGTTCTTGATTCGCCAGCAGACGCTCCTGTTTTTTTTTTAAATGGGTGATTCCCCAGAGGTTCGAGATTTATCGTGCTCCATGTCAACCTTTTTCACTTGTTGTGACAACTAATCCATGCCAATCCCACACACTATGCGTCAAAGAAGCTGGATCAACTTTTCTCTATTTAAAGATATGACGAGACATGCATGGACAAGTACACAATTGTATACGCAATTTACCGCAAAAAGCATCCTGACAGGTCTAAAATATAAACACTAAGACAAACTTGTTTTGGAAAAAGGATTGATGTTGACGAGGGAACCTGGTGGAGACACAAGGTCGAGGGTTTCTAGTGGAGCCGAGGGTGGAAGGAGCCACGGTGAAGCCAACAGGTCGAGGTGGAGCATAGGGATCAGAGGCTGGAGGCGGAGCCACAGGATCCACTCGCTCAGGCGCTTAATGGTGGTTGCACGACCTGAGTCTTCACGTCGCAGCAAGGCGTTCCCGGGGAAGGCGAAGGGCGGCAGAGGAAGAGCGGGAGGACTGGCTGAGCTCTGAGGTGAGGGTGAGAGAGGGAAGCTGGACATGATCAATAACGGTAATTCCAATTCCCAACAGGTAAATGAAACGGTGTCAGTGCTGTCATGAAACAGTGATGAAGAACAGACAAATGATTCAGGGTGGGAGGCAGTACCTCAGTGTCCAATTCTACCAAAATTCCTTCTACTACAGATTTTGCTGGCTCACACTCTCTCTGGGGCTCCGGGGTAATGGTCGGCGCGGTCCTTTCTTTAAAGGAGTCTGGCTCACACATCGCGGAAAGCTGAAGCTCTCCGTCTGCGGGGCGCTCAAATGAAATCTCCTCGGTCGAGGGTGGTGGTAGGCTGCGCTCTGGCTGAAGGACGTCTGTGAGGTGTGGCTGGACGAGACTGCGGTTATCCTGCGCTTCGCCCACTGTGAGCACGGATCCATTCGTCCACAGTGCCAGACCACACCAAAATCCCTCCATTAGACAGAAGTTGTCGCAGGTGGCAAGATAGCAGATGTCGAGGAACTCATCCACGTATCGCTCCAGGTCTCTGCCACTCTGGAACATAAAAACTGTCCCTCCATCCAAAATTAAATTGCCCTTCATTGTTGCAATGTCCATTCTTCTCATTTTTGAGGGTCTGGTCATCTGTCACAGAAGGTTGAAGGAAGAACAAGAAGATGATCAAGTTTCAAAAGTCTTTAATAATCCACTTCGAAGGCAATCCAAACAGGCAGGCAAACAAACAAACAAACAAAACACAACCTCTCTAACATAGACGGCGACTGGAGAAAGACATTATTAATTTATTGATTATTTGTTCATTGCCTATGTAATGGCCAATGCTTTGGCAATACTGTATAAGTCATGCCAATAAAGCTCATTTGAATTTGAATTTGAGTGACTGTGAGGATACATTTTATAAAGCAAACACTAACAAGATGATAAACAAACACAGCTGAAACACAGAACTCATAATGACGGTAACCAAGGAGACAAACGAGTGGCGGGAAAATAGAACAAAAGGAAACAGGAAACTCGTGGAAACTAAAAGTCCATGATAATGAAACTGAGAATGAGTGTATGTGGCAAGTGCTGGTTCTTTGTCATATAGTTTAATCTGATGTGACCAAAGGTGTGTTTTTCAGCTCTGTAAAAAATTAAGTGACCACTGCAAAATGTTAATTTTACTCAAACAGATATAAAAAAAATCCAGAGAAATGGCTAATTTTGTAGCGGTCTCTTCATTTTTTCCCCCCAGAGCTTGTCTGTTTGGAAGTGAGTAAAGTGGCCCTGCAATCATGCTTTAAGAATTTAGTCTGAGTCATGCAAGTTAACTTTTAAAGGGTCAATAGCGGGCAGGTGCAAAGTTTCTGAAAATAATGTGATCTAGGCTAGTTAGCCTACTATAAATCAGCGTAATGACGGAATACAACTATTTTATTGAGTAAAAAAAAAAAAAAAAAATGTATGTGTGTGTGTGTTTCTGTGTGTGTTTTTAATAAAGCTGTATGAGAAATCTCTGAAGTGAGTCACACGAGAGACCCGGCTCTTCCACGCCCAGCCAGGACTGGGTGATTTCCTTATCGACAAGTGTCATTTGAAGTCAGACTCACTCCGAGACTCGGTTCTTTCGAGCAGTTCATTTAAAAACGGTTCTTATAGATTCAGCGATTCTTGTACATCATAGCGTTCACGTCATCGAGTGTTGCCTGACAAAACCTTTTCGAATGCATTAGTAAGGTGTTCAACAACTATTTCATCTACTGTATAAATACCCATTTAAACGGTGTGAGTAAAATCCAGACAACATAATTAGATTTTATAGCCTAATTCTGCCAATACAAACCTAATCAGATTTCTTTGAGTTCTTGGCTGAATCCGAAATAAGGCATTATTTGAAGGGACAGACATTTGCAGTGGTGTCCGAAACCATAGTGGATGTCTATATCCTACATTGCACCGCGAGTGTCGACAGCCTCTAGGGCTAGGCTACTACAGAGTGTCTACAGCTGCTCAACGGCTGCCAGAATTCGCTAATCCGTTTTCATTCACTCCTTCAAGTGAACATTATTAGTGGACTAACGTGATTGAGTGTTTGGGGGGCGATGGGTTCTCTCTCGTTCATGAAGCGGTTTAGTGACTCGGCTCACCCGAATCATTAAAAAGATTCAAACTAAAAGAACGATTCACGAATCGGACAACGCTCCTAGTGGCATCAACCTCCGCCCATAAACTCTGCCACTTCCTTTTCACGTTTAAATGACCGCAGAGACTCAAACAGATGGCATATCTACCGACAGCGATGACTGTGGGAAGAATTAGATTTTCCTTTAAGGAAATGACTGGCTGAGTCGCGATTTCCGTGGTAGCCTAAAGTGAAGAGCTCGGTGGAAATGATTATCCTCCTTGAGTATAATGACAAGCAGAGCTGGACGCTTATTCAGGACTTGCAGACAGATGTTGAAGACAGTTCATTAGAGGAAACCTTTACACTCATCCACTGATGTTCAACTTCACGGTCAAAACAAACGCACGCCGGACTGCGTCAACTCGACAAGGTACTGTAGCCTACGTTATATATTTTAATGACAATAATGACGACGATAAAACGGGAAAAACTCAGTTCTGATTTATTTATTTTTGTTACACATTAGGCTGAAAAAAGAGAAGAAAACAGTCAGTCACAATATTAACTCATCAAATTTTGGACTAATTTGTAGCCTAATGCCATTTAAATTCTACTTTGATCCCACCCTCATACCACCCCCTTGGTTTTTCAGCCAATCAAATGATGGCGTTTCTTGTACTGTCGTCGGAATCGATCCAAATAGCAGCAAGGAGTTCGCTAAAATAATTGCCGGGGACAATTTTTTCATCTTAAAATATTAATTGGGACTAGTACCTAGCGCCTATCTGATAAGACTGTATAGGTGATATTGTGTTCATCTGATAGGGAAGTTGTAAAATGCATTTCGGAAGGATCTATTTTTACTTTAAACCTACAGTGACATTTTTTTTAGTCCAATAATGGAGTCAATTTTATTCTGTCACATTAAAATATATATTTTGACTTCTGAACATCAAATGTTACCACATGAAGCACATTGCTGTTGTTGTTTTTTACACTACTGTAGTATAACAAAAAATTAAAAATACAATTAAATCAATGTAGGTTACATATTTTCTATCTGTGATGCATGTAGTGTAATGTTCGCTCGTTTTTTTCTGCTCTGTGTAGGATGGTCTGCAATCTCTTTCTTGGATCTCCAAGGATATGAACTGAGGGCTGGACTGACTTTTTGTGCTGTACTTTTTGTGCAACACGACTTGTAGCTCATACTCAAACTCTCATACACACATGCACTGTGTTACAAGGGCGGAAGACAACGAGCCTACTAGTGATGGCGTAGTCAGAAGAAACAGCATGTCCTTCCAGTACAGATGGCAAGTTTCATTGGGGATCTTGGTTGTGATTACAGGCATAGTGCTCTTCATTACCATGCAGTATTACAGTATTCTCATTGGCGTGGCCATAGTGTGTCTCGGCCTCTTGATCCTCATCCATGCCTTCTGCATGGTCATCAAATCCAGTCATTTAGCTGTGCCGGGTCACTTCCTTCTACACCCGCGAACGGGCACCCGTTACACCCACCATCAAGCCATTGCGGTGCAGAGGTAAGACGCAAATGTTATACCAATGTCACACACAAATAGGCTATCATTATGAGGCTAATTGATGAGTGCAATTAAAGAGAACCAAGGGTTTAGCCAATGCGGTGGCATTCAAACTAGATGAGTGCATGGAGTAGCCTATGTAATTGTCAAATCAAGTTTCCGGAACTCTATGAATAGATATACAATATAAACAGAGAGGCTCAAGGCTGGAATACACTACATGACCTTTAAAATCGGAACAGATTTTAATATCCGCCTATACTGCCTCTGACTTTTGACAACTAGCATTGCCTCGTGCAGACTGTAAATTGGCACAAAAATATGTGCAAATGTTGTAGTGTATTCCATCCTTATGCTTTATAAATGGAAAATACCAAAATCAGAACATAAATAATCAGGGGTTTTGAGAGGTCAGCATTCTGGAACCCATAAGGATCAATTTCATAGCACTCATTTTTTTGTTGTATCTTTCAATTTATTCAAAAATTAAAAACATTACAAAATGCAGTTCATGCGTATGTACAGTGACTTGACTGCTCTGATGAGCATGTTTTTAATACTTGAAATACAATTAATTTGGATATTTTTCAAAGTTTTAAAGTTTTTTTTATTTTTCGTCTTCTCACTAACATTTACATATTTAAAATAAATAGAATAAAACGGCAACAATAAAAAGAACTAGCTAGGTTAGCTGATTACCTTAGAAAAGTACATAGATATCTGTGCCAGTTCATACTGCCGTTAACACTTTCTCCAACAAGCGGATGAACTGAGACCTGTTTTCCTGTTTGTTCATGTGACGTTTGGCATAAAGCCTATATTGGGACGTTAGGTGGTTAGTTTACTGACTTTTGCTTCAGTATGAACAATAGTAATAATGATTTTTTGTTTGCACACACTAGTATGACTGCTGAAAGATGTTAAACATGAGTTGTGAAACATAAGAATGCTGAAAAATAATAATCTGATTGGGGTTTTTGTATACACTCAGAATTTTCTAGCTTTCAGTTGATAAAAAAATATGCAAACTAAGACGGTGCTCTGTCTCTTCTCGGCTCACTCTTAGTTTGAAAGCCAAAGTTAAGCAGAAGTAACAAATGTTCTGATTATAGAAGTAGGTCAGCAGTGAAAACAGCGAAACAGTTTGGCACGGTTAGATGGTAGAAATGATGGGTCTGCGTCCTGTCCATAAACTAACTCATGTCTTACATTTATTTTCATTGCACGATGTACTAGTTGGAAGGCAAGGTTTACATTTTCCTCTTATAGCAAGAGCGAGGAACCATATATCCAATATGCCTTTATCAATACTTGGAAGAAAAAGAAAAAGCATTTTTGCAATTTGTTTGTTGACTTTAGTGATGCAGAAATTGCATACTTAAGCTTTAATTTAGATTTGTTTGGGTGTCATTCTGCGGTGCCCATTTGAATGACAGCTCAGCACAACAGTGTTTTCTATGTAATATGGTTGTGAATTACAGTAATTAGTTTAAGTGTTTAAACTGACTCCCCTTTGTCAAGAAACCCTTTTCAACGTTTTAGCGCTTGACAAAATGCAATAGTAATGTAATTAATGGAGAAACTGAGAGAAAAAGTTAAGGCAAGGTAATGTTTACAGACCAAGTGAAGACTGAACAGCTGCTAGCCGCCAAATTCTTTCAGTGTTGAGAGAGAGAGAGAGAGAGAGAGAGATGAGAGAGAGAGAGAGAGAGAGAGAGAGAGAGAGAGAGAGAGAGAGAGAGAGAGAGAGAGAGAGAGAGAGAGAGAGAGAGAGAGAGAGAGAGAGAGAGAGAGAGAGAGAGAGAGAGAGAGAGAGAGAGAGAGATGAGAGAGAGAGAGAGAGAGAGAGAGAGAGAGAGAGAGAGAGAGAGAGGACCCATTGCCATATACAAACTAGTAAGTTGCTGGTACTTAATAATGATCTCAGTTTATATTTAAATCTATTTATGGGTTTTTTTGTTTGGAGAATCATGCTGTGGAAGATAGGAGAATCAAAGGGAGCAGAGCGGTTCATTCTGACCGCATGATCAGGACTACAGATGTTAACAGAAAGCAGTCAACATTGTACTCTAGCCCAGAAACAATGAGGAGGGAGGGCTCGAGAGGAAGAGATTGTTGTTTCTTGCAACATGCTGAAGCCATCAAATAATGCCTTGGGGTCTCACCCTTCTCCCCACCCCTCGTCTTTTTGGCATCTGAAGTACAGTAGTTTTAGAAGAATGATGGTAAACACTCAGTCTTTGGTTTGAACTTAAAGTTGGATTCACTTTAAAAAAAAAGAAAGAAAAAAAGAATTGCAAGCGCAAACTTGGTGATTTCAGATTATTTAGTGTCCTTCTGAAATGAATGTTGTTTCCATAATGCTTTAACATAAAAATGAAAATTCTGTCAGTAACTACTCATCCTCATGTTTTTCCAACCCCGTAAGACTTTCGTTCATCTTCGGAACACAAATTAAGATATTTTTGATGAAATCTGACAGCTGGATCACTCCTCCATAGGCTGCTACGTAATTGCATCTGCCGGCCCAGAAAAGTTAGTAAAGGCAATGTAAGGCATTAAAATAGTCCAAGTGACTACAGTGGAACTAACGTCAGAGGTCCACACAGAAGAAAATGAATAGTTGAATAAAGTCATTATTTTTGTTTTGTTTTTTGCACACAAAGTATTCTCGTCGCTTGATAAACTTAAGGTGGAGCCACTGTAGTCACAATAATTTAAAATTATTGACTACAGGGGACTTTAACTACAGTTTTCTTAACGCTGTAATTTTTTTTGTTGCATTTATTATGGTTTTGAGAGGAAAGTGTTAAGCACATGTTTACATATTTATCTAAACGGCACTACAAATTTAAAAAAAGAACTTCGCTGTGAGTATATCGGGGCCTTTGCAGTATATTAATTACGCCATATACTCAAACTATATTGTGATACAGGTATTCTGCTCTTCCCCTTCCCCAGGAGGCTGGATCGGATCCGGAGGGGTACGGCAGAGAATCACATTACAGTCCAAGTGCCTCCCACCTCAGACGCCAGTCCACAGAGCCAACCTGCAACACCCCCTCCATGGCAAATGGAGCCGCCGCCATCCTATGAGACTGTTATGAAGACCACTACAGCTCTGAACCAACTATAACTACAGAAATCAAAATCCATACTATTAAAAAACAACAACTCACTCACTAAAAGCTAAATACTTTTAAATTCTACAGCCGAATGAAGGCATCAAAACATTGTGCAGTATGGAAGAAGGATAAGTTTTCATTTTTAGATCTGCTAAAGAATGTCAAAAAGTAATGTAACTTGTTTTTTTATGCATGAACACACTCTGCATGCACTCAAATAGAGATGATGCACTTAAAGGGTTATTTTTTTATACCTCTATCCCTTTAATATTTTGTTAGATACAGACAGCAAAAGTAATCTAAATCTAAAAGGGAAACAAGTTCACAAGCGAATACCTATACGTATAAGTAATGTGATAACCGATATATCGTGCAGCTCTATTATGAAGTGCCTTGAGTAACCAGAAACTTCAGTTTCTCAATTTTGTACTAATGCTATGGAGTTATATTATTGCTATTTGTTACATGTAGCTTGACTGAACATGCTAGTTTCCTATTTCTTAGGGATGCACTGATATGGCAATTTTACCTATGATGACCGATATACATTTTTTATGTTTTGAAACCGATAACCAAAGTCCTCACTGACACCAAATGTCGTAAACAGTGGAAAACTGCTTTTAAAACTGGGAGAAAACTATCTTTCATATCTTACAGTCACAAAAAATGTGTAAGCTAATTTTATAAACCATCTCTGAGAGACCCTGAGGTCATTAGAGAAGTTATTTCTACTACTTACTAACCTACTAAGTAGTTCCTATACTAACTACTTGCCATTGAAGGTTGATGATATTCTGATTTGTTTATTTTAATTTATTTTTTTGTATTTCTCTACAATGTCTTTTTACTGGGGTCAAAAACAGAAACTGGGTTACTAGAATATAGATACCAGTCAAAGTAAAATTGTTCATTCGGTAAAAAAGGGAGAAAATTGTCAATAATATCTGTCTATAGCCCCTTTCACACAGAGATTCCGGAAAATACACGGATAAAGTGACCCGGGATTTGACCCGGGTTCGTTTGATTTTGCTTCATTCACACTGCCAGTGATTTGCCGGAATCAGAGAGCGCGTTCACACACAACCCGTGTATGTTCCGGAAAGACGCGTGACGTTGGATGTGACGGGTCTCTACTCCAGTCCAGTTTGCAGACATTTTTTCGTTCTTTCTTGTATCGATGACAAACACAAACTTTCTTCTAGAGTAACTGAGCCGCACGATAACTACGTCATTGCAAAGGCTTGTGATTCGTGAATCTTCACTACGACACACCCCTTGTACGGCATTGGTTCTGGCTTTTGTTCACACAGCGCGCGTTCCGGGTCTGAACACAGCAATGTTACTAGGTCCCCAACCCGGCATCGATCCCGGCATCAATCCCGGGTCGTGTTTGCGTTCACACAGAAGGCACTCTGGCAATTTGCCGGGTTCAAAGCGCTGTGTGAAAGGGGCTTAAGTCAGGGTCCCGCCGTGATAGTCTTGTCTGTTTTGTCACTGTTCAATGTTTCCTTGTTTGTCTTGTGCTTGAGCACATGGCTTTGTCTTTGTTTCTGTTGGCCATATGCTCCTCTTGTCCCGCCTCCTTGTTTCCCGTTACCACGCCCCCTTGTTTAGTCCATGGCTAGTCCCACTGTCTATGTCTAGTCCTAATTGTGGTCACCCGATCCTCATGTGCTCTGGTCCCTTTATATTGTGTCTCTTTCCCTCATGTCTTTGCTGGTTCGTTTTGTGTGCGTTATTCCTGTTTGCCTTCCTGTGTGTATGGTTAAACCTAGTGTAACGGAGGCCAGCTAGTAGTTGCTGTGCGAGTAAACCTCACTCCTCTGATCTCAATAGGCGCTCTAGCGACAGATGCTAGAGGCTGCATTCTTTAGCCTCCTTGTTGGAGCGCCTGACTCTCACGCCGGAGACCCGGGTTCGAGGCCCGCTCGGAGCGGGTCGAGTGGGACCCGGGTGGAGGGGTTACATTGGTGCCGTGGCCCGGATGGGAGTGAGGTTTAGGGGGGTGAGTGTAACGGAGGCCAGCTAGTAGTTGCTGTGCGAGTAAACCTCACTCCTCTGATCTCAATAGGCGCTCTAGCGACAGATGCTAGAGGCTGCATTCTTTAGCCTCCTTGTTGGAGCGCCTGACTCTCACGCCGGAGACCCGGGTTCGAGGCCCGCTCGGAGCGGGTCGAGTGGGACCCGGGTGGAGGGGTTACATTGGTGCCGTGACCCGGATGGGAGTGAGGTTTAGGGGGGTGAGTGTAACGGAGGCCAGCTAGTAGTTGCTGTGCGAGTAAACCTCACTCCTCTGATCTCAATAGGCGCTCTAGCGACAGATGCTAGAGGCTGCATTCTTTAGCCTCCTTGTTGGAGCGCCTGACTCTCACGCCGGAGACCCGGGTTCGAGGCCCGCTCGGAGCGGGTCGAGTGGGACCCGGGTGGAGGGGTTACACTAGTTCTTGTTGTGATATTGATATTTCTAGCTCTAGTGTATCCTTTTGCTCCAGTCTTGTTCTAGATAGTTTTAGTCTTTTTTTTTTTCTCTTTTGATTTTGTTTCTACTCTAGATTATCGTATCTAGTTCCCTGTCAGTTTGTTCTTGTGTTTTATTTTTTGATTGCAAGTTTGTCATTTTATTCCTAGTTTTCTTTTGTTTTGTTTTGCTTCACTAGTCATTGTTCTGTTTCAGTCTTTAATTGTATATTTCCTATTTAATTACTCTCTTGTCTTGCTCTGTGTTCTTGTTGTGTCTTGTTCATTGAGTCTTGTTTGTCCCTTCCCTGCATCCTGAGATTTCCTGACCACTGACATTCACTGCATGGCAGCTAGACTGGTGTAACAGCTAAGAGATCCTCAAGCCTCTGGTTCCTTGTGTTCCTGCCTGGCCTTCCTCAACATCATTCCACCTGGTGCTGCCTCTTCTGCAGTTGTCAAGCCCATTGTCACCCAGGACTGGTTTCAGTGGTCATCCTCCTTGCCTGTCATCGTGTCGTCAGCCCTACTGTTCGAACAGTTTCACACCTCACTCTCCTCGTTTTGCCCTGTCTACAGTCTTGTTACAGTTTTTCTCGATTGCTTAAACACATTTCTTGAAACTATGCCTCGTATTCTCAAAACAGTAAACACAAATCCATAACGTCTCACCCAATTCCCCAAACATCCTATTTTCAGGTCAAAATGAAGCTCTACACTCAAAACCATTCACTCTTGCTGAAAAACCAAACTTTGCCCTCAGACAGGACACACAAGCCCTCAAAAATACACACACTACAACATAGTCTTACACACTGGTGCTATAAATTCAAAACAACATTTCCAAAACTGGTAATTCATGTTGCTTGTGGTCCCCCGCCCTCCCTCCCCCCATCTTTTTTTTTTTCCTCTCTACTACTCTTATGAAAGATGTGTGTGAGCATCAAATGACAGTAAAAGAGCACACACAAACCATATTCAAATCTGGAATTGTATTGGAATGGTAAAGAGTGTTGGTACATGCCTCCACTCAAGGATACAATATGATGAACAAGTCTAAGAATGTTCCACATGGTTGAAATACCATCATTGGCCTAGAAAGATAACATTCTGGGAGTCAAGACTATAAAGGAGAAAGGATGCTCTCCCTTCACTGTCACACTCTGCAGCCACTCTGTGTGACTGTACGACTGCTGGCCTTTTCTTGCAAGAACATAAACCTCTTCAAAGACAATTGGAAATGTTTGTCTCTTATTCAGTGATATAAATTTGTTTGCCACCACTCCTCCCTGAAGGTTCTGATGATGGAGGCGACGGTGAAGCGACTCAAATTTGTCTGTACTCGTTGCCCAGCCTCCCTCTAGTCATACCATGGACAAGGACATGGCCAACTAAAGTGGCTTGAATGTTCGATCCGAGACTGCTTGTCTGCTTGCCCTTGCCCTTCCTCCTCCTCCTTCTTCTTCTCTCTGACGACGAATGGAAGCTGAGAACGAAGACAGACCTCGCAAGACAGGGCCTCCGAGGACGAGCCGAAGGACAGCAGGAGAGGCACGACGGAGGAGAGGGAGCAACAGATCCGAAGACGCCTCTCTTCCTCCTCCTCTTCCTCCTCCTCCTCCTTCTCCTCATCCTCCTCCTCCTTCTTCTCCTCCTCATCCTCCTCCTCCTCCTCCTCCTTCTCCTCCTTCTCCTCATCCTCCTCCTCCTCCTCTTCCTCTTCCTCTTCCTCTCCCTCCTCATCCTCTTCCTCCTCCTCCTCTTCTTCCTCCTTTTCCTCCTCCTCATCCTCCTCATCTTCCTCTCCCTCCTCCTCTTCCTCCTCCTTTTCCTTTTCCTCCTCCTCATTCTCCTCCTCTTCCTCTTCCTCCTCCTCCTCTTCCTCCTCTTCCTCCTCCTCCTCTTCCTCTCCCTCCTCCTCTTCCTCCTCCTTTTCCTTTTCCTCCTCCTCATTCTCCTCCTCTTCCTCCTCATCTTCCTCTCCCTCCACCTCCTCCTGTTCCTCCTCCTCTTCCTCTCCCTCCTCCTCTTCCTCCTCCTGTTCCTCCTCCTATTCCTCTCCCTTCTCCTCCTCCTCTTCCTCCTCCTGTTCCTCTTCCTCTCCCTCCTCATCCTCCTCCTCCTCTTCCTCCTCCTCTCCCTCCTTTTCCTCCTCATCCTTCTCCTCTTCCTCCTCCTCTTCCTCTTCCTCCTCCTATTCCTCTCCCTCCTCCTCCTCCTCTTCCTCCTCCTGTTCCTCTTCCTCTCCCTCCTCATCCTCCTCTTCCCCCTCCTCCTCTTCCTCCTCCTCTCCCTCCTCCTTTTCCTCCTCATCCTTCTCCTCTTCCTCCTCCTCTTCCTCTTCCTCTCCCTCCTCCTCCTCTTCCTCCTCCTCCTCTTCCTCCTCCTTTTCCTCCTCCTCATCCTCCTCCTCTTCCTCTCCCCCTCCTCTTCCTCCTCCTTTTCCTCCTCATTCTCCTCCTCATCCTCTTCCTCTCCCTCCTCCTCCTCCTCCTCCTCCTCCTCCTCCTCTTCCTCCTCCTTTTCCTCCTCATTCTCCTCCTCTTCCTCCTCCTCATCCTCTTCCTCTCCCTCCTCCTCCTCCTCTTCCTCCTCCTCTTCCTCTCCCTCCTCCTCCTCCTCCTCTTCCTCCTCCTGTTCCTCTCCCTCCTCCTCCTCCTCTTCCTCCTCCTGTTCCTCTTCCTCTCCCTCCTCCTCCTCTTCCTCCTACTTTTCCTCCTCCTCATCCTCCTCCTCTCCCTCCTCCTCTCCCTCCTCCTCTCCCTCCTCCTTTTCCTCCTCATTCTCCTCCTCTTCCTCCTCCTGTTCCTCTTCCTCCTCGACATATTGCTTAATTTCTCTGTGGATCCATTGTTCCAAAACTCAGTAAACTGATTTTTATCTTTTATAAAATATTGTATAACCTTTTATCTATCTATTGAAGGATCTGACTGATGTGTGTTCAATTTTGACTCTTAGTGTTTTCACCTGGGTAATTGTGTGCTAACTGAGCTGAAGCTGTGCTGACTTGAGTGAACAATTTTGAATGCTAGTGCTTTCTAAATGACCACGTGGTGTAGGCAATGAGAAATGAAGGGATTTGTGTGGAGTTTTGCTGTGACAGTTCAACAAATTTGACTAATGTGTCAAAACAGGGGAATAGTGTTTATAGTTCAGTGAAATGGGTGTCCTTTTTGGTAAATGGCATTATGGTTTTGAAATTTTAGTTCAAAAGCCTGGTTATAGTGTTTAAGCAATCGAGAAAAACTGTAATAAAAAAAAACCTTCACAGCTATTCTGCACCTGGGTCCTCTTTCAGATTCTTGACAGTACCTGGCACTAATGGGTTTTGAATAGGGTTAACTTAAAGGGAATGAACTTGAAAAAAATTGAAGGGGACATGTGAGATTCATTTAAAAATACTATTATTATTAATTAATCTTACACATACACCACCATTCCAGTTTTGGGTTTGTACGATTTTTAAATGTTTTTAAAAGAAGTTTCTGATGCCCCACAATGCTGCGTTTATTTTAAAATAACCATTTTCTATTTGAATATATTTTAAAATGTAATCTATTCCTGTGACGGCAAAGCTGAATTTTCAGCATCATTACTTCAGTCTTCAGTGTCACATGATCCTTCAGAAATCATTCTAAAATGCTGATTCGCTGTTCAAGAAACATTTATCGTGATTACCAATGCTAAAAATGTGCTATGAAAGTAACTACTTAAAATGAATCATGGAAACTGTGATACTTTTTATTTTTCAAGATTCTTTGATGAATAAAGTAAATGTCTTTACTGTTTTGATCAGTTTAATGCGCCCTTGTTGAATAAAAGTTACTTTCTATATATATATTAAAAAAAAACCTTACGCAGAAAACTTTTGAATGGTGGTGTATATTATTAGGGACTTTGGGTCCCCAGATATAACATCAGTCTAGGTTGTAAAAGATGCCAAGTTGTAATTTCATTGTTCTTGAGTACCTCTTTATCAATAAGCTGAACCAAATTTTGAATTGTGCCTTGATTTTTTTTTAGAAAGATTTAGACATTTCCTAATGTATATAATCTTATTCGTGGTAGGCTTACTTATGTTGTATAATATAGGATTGAGGAAATGTGCTCTCTCTCTCTCCTGAATGTCACATTCACTGTCACTTTAACAGGCCTACCAGAAACTATTTTCTCTGTTTTGTGTGTTTTTTCTATATTTTCTGTGATGTTTTGTCAGTTACATATCATTTTCTATGTGTATTTCCTGGCTATCACATGTGCATATAAATACCAATAAACCATATGACACAAAAACTCTATTGTTAATTTGTGTTTGGTAACCAATAATATTATCAAACTAAATGTTTTTGTATGTACTTATATCTTCTATATCGTTGACTTCTACCATATTTCGTTAATATTCTGGAAAGGAATGTACTAAGATTGCTTAAGTCAATTCAACCTTTACCTGGGGGAAGGTCACCTGACTAAGACCCATTACAGGTTCAATGATCTGTATCTTGGTTCTCCACTGGCCCTGCGTCCCGTCAGTCACTCCTGCCTTCTCAGTCTGTCCTTCACCTCTATGGGAACACCATCATAAAGCTCCACACTCTCACCGGTACTTTCTTCTGTTAACTTAGTTAGCCACTGCTGGAACTCTACGCTTCTTCTATGGCAGAGAACAAGCCGTATCGCTATGGGCTCATTGTTCTTGGGATGGCGTTTGTGGCATTGGGTATGTTCATGATCTCCGTAGAGGAACCACAGGTGTTCGCCACGTTCTGTGCTATGGGAGTGATAATGGTGGGCATGGGGACGGTCTGGTCGGTGTGTCAGTGTTACCCCAGGGTAAGGAAAGTTGGCTGTTCCCTGTTTGGTAATAGATGGATTTTATGTTTTATGTTCTTAGCATTTACTTTGATTATAATGTCCATATAATTTGACAGAGTGTGCTACATTACGGTGTTTCCGATGTCCAACAGGTGACTGTTATACTGGCAGAGAAGGAAGAGCTCTGTGGGGCTGAAAAACTGGACTTGAGTGCTGAAAGCTCGGATGAAAAAAGGTTAGAGTAAGATCTCTTTACAGACAACACAAACAAATATTTGAGATAAATTGCATATGATATTAAAGGGATAGTTTACCCAAAAATTTAAATCTTGTCATTAATTTCTCACCTTCCTGTCGTTCAAATCCGTAAGACTTTCGTTCATCTTAGGAACACAAATGAAGATATTTTGAATGAAATCTGAGTAGATTTCTGTCCCTCCATTGACAGATACGCAACTACCACTTTGATGCTTCAAAAAGTTGATAAAGAGATCGTAAAACGAATCCATATGAATTGAGGGGTTTAGTCCAAATTTTCTGAAGAGACTCAATTGCTTTATATGATGAACAGATTAAATTTAGGCTTTTATTCACATATCACATAAACATTTTATTCACATAAACATTCATTAACGCACACATCAGTTGTGGTAAACGGAAGCTCAAGCATGTTCGTTCAACGTGTGAGAACCAATGAGGTTCATCTCATGTTACGATCAATGTTAATATGTGAATAAAAACCTTAATTGAATCTGTTGTTCTTCATATAAAGCGATCGTGTCTCTTCAAAAAATTTGGACTAAACCGCTCAATTCATAAGGATTCGTTTTTATGATCTCTTTATAAACTTTTTGAAGCGACAAAGTGGTAGTTGCGAAGCTGTCAATGGAGGGACCGTAATCTCTTGAGTTTTTATCAAGAATATCTTAATTTGTGTTAAATTAAAAATGAACGAAAGTCTTATGGGTTTGGAATTTTTATTTTTGGGTGTCTATCCCTTTAAGACTTTTCAGGGAATGTATCTTGAAATAAGATTCAAGACATACTTATAATAGATTATAATTATTATATTATAATAATTCTAAAAACTAAGTTTCACTACACTGGCAAATTAAGCATACATTTGCCAACTGGGAATCTTAAACTTAATTCAAGAAAACTGAATATTTGTGGAATATATTTAGTCCCACCCTCTGAAAATGTTGTTTCGATGGAGAGGGGAGGTTAATGTTTTCAATTATAGATTGAGGACATATGCATTTAAAAAAATAATAATAATAATGATGTGCATGGATAAATCATTTATAGTAAACACTGCAACATTCTGTAAAAGAAAAAAAAGAAAAAAGAAGAAAAAAAAGATTTGTCAATTTTGATTTCATGGTGACTTTAAGAGTGAAAGGTTACTCTATATTGTAAATGATCTCTCCACAACCCTCATTCATCCAGTCAACTCTTCCTTCTCTTCCTTCTCTTTCTGTCATCACACTGGAGTCTGTGTTTGTGTTTTCTGAGGGCCCATCAAGACTCATTAAGTCTAAATTCACTCACTCTGTAACTGGGTTAAGCGGCTGGATAATTGAATCTTAGAGAATCTTACCTCTTCCAGGGAATGTAATTGTGCTGTGTGATAAGATTATTTTTGTAAAAAATCTTAAAGAGACAAGCATACAACTTTACAACTCAAAAGCCTCTAAGTATACCGCAATGGTGTTAGACCGTGTGCTGCTATCAACGTGGTTCAACAGGCTCGTCAGTTATGTAAATTACTCGTATAAGTTTTAGAGAGCAGCAAAACAAAACAATAAGCAACTTAAGCATAGGCCTATCACTACTCAGGATTTTCTCCTTCAAATCTTTCAACCTTGTGAATGACGTACCATATGGCACGTCATTTCAACATGGCGAAATACATTGAGGGTGTGACCTGCACCATGTCCTATTAAAACGCTTTTTATAGAAAACTATGAGTATACAGTCTTCATCTCATTTGAGTGTACTTCAAAAATACTATTTATTTTTTGATGTGTAAAACTTTTTTTTTTTAAATAACACCAACTATAATATGCAACTTTATAGTTTATGCATATTTAAAAAACATGTATTTTCCTGTTACAGTCCACAGAAGCCAATAAGAGCTCCCTTGGCTGGCTTCTGTGATGATGAAAAAGTAGAAATATCGGCAGATGCAAAACTCCACACTGAGAACAAACACAGTGAGCGTGTCATCGTCCTCCACACATGTCGAAGTTCTCCCAGTGTGCTGGCATGTTCTAGCACTCCATTGACGGACAGAAGAACCACAGGAACAGACCCCAACCGAGAGATGTACTATGGGAAAATGGAAGACTCATGTTACTTTACATCTGAGCTGGAGAGTGAATAGTGCCTTTTGATTAATGTCAAAATCATCATCTACATCTGATATACTGTAAATATTTGCCAGACAACTATGTTGTCATACTTTAAAAAAAATATTCTAAATAACTTATATCAATATGTTTAAAGAGGACATTATGCCCCTTTTTACAAGATGTAATATAAGTCTCAGGTGTCCCCAGAATGTATCAGTGAAGTTTCAGCTCAAAATACCCCACATATAATGTATTATACCATGTTGTAAATGCCCATTTTGAGTGTAAGGGAAAACTGCTGTTTTTGTGTGTATATCTTTAAATTAGGGCTGGGAAAAAATTAATCGTGATTAATCGCATCCAAAATAAAAGTTTTGTTTACATAATATATGTGTGTGTAGTGTGAATAATTATTTTGTATATATAAATACACACATATGCATGTCTATATTTAAGAAATATTTGCATGTATATACTGTATATATATTTATACATCATTTATATTATATATAAATATACATATTTTTTATATTAATAACACATTTTTCTTAAATATATACATGCATGTGTGTGTATTTATATATACAAAATAATTATACACACTACACACACATATTTTATGTAAACAAAACTTTTATTTTGGATGCGATTAATCACGATTAATTTTTTCCCAGCCCTACTTTAAATGCAAATGAACTGCTCACTCAGGGGAGGAGCTAAGCTAATAGGGCAAATTCTGTCACCAGTCGTGGGCGGGGCTTGTTACATTGTGACGTCACGTTGGAGTACATTCCTTAACTGCTCTTTTTTGAGACACTGTTTTGGATTTATGGAGAAAATAACAAACGGAGTGGATGGATTTTTACCAAAATAAGGTGGTTGTGGACACACACTGCAGAAACTAAATATGTTCAAAAACAATATAAAAGAGAATTTTGCATTACAGGTCCCCTTTAAGTGTGTAATGTATGCCATCACATTTTACATTAGGCATGTTAATGTTACAAGGTCTGGCAGTGACTTTGTCACAAGCATATGATAATAGGATTGTTTCACTCTCAGGAAATAAGGCTGGAAAAAGTTTAAACATTAGGTGATGAAATAACATTGTGACCTTGACTCATGCCGCCAAGACCAGAGGACACTGAAAGAGGAACTGCCTGGATTCTGGAATGTGGAGTTTTTATATCTGTCGGTGGTGCTCCTTCATAAGAGAGATCCTTTACACACGGGACAGCAGGATAAATAACCATATCTGGATTGATATGTGATTTTAGATTATTTAAATGTAGTATTGTAGTAAAATTCTAGGGACAAATTAAAGGGATACTTTTAAAGCAAGTTAAAAATACACGTAGCAGTAGCCTACTGAAATGTGAATCAGCTGGGCCACAAAGTTAGCCTATGTGCAAAACATGTTTGTTTTTCTGTTTTCTATGGTTGGGACTTTCCGTTTATGAGGTTCAATTTGTGCCAAAAAGGAGTCGACTGCTTTGTTCTTGTACCTACATTTGTCCTTGTAGTCATTGCCGTTTTAGGATAAAGCGTTGTACATTTGTCCATGTCTACAGCCATTTATTTAAAATAAATTAGTAGGCCTATTTGTTGGTGTATGTTCTTTATATTGCCTATTTCTGTCGTTTATGGGAAGATTTCCAGAAATTATGGCACTCTGTTTGCGCAAAAAAAAAAAAAAAAAAAAAAAAAAATCTATGTTGCCCTCCCTGTCCATTCAGCTCAGTTTTATGCTTCATAAGTTACTGGTCACAGTGAAAGTTCTGCAGTGTATTTGACATATCCAAACAAGTAGAACATTTAGATATTTTCAATATAGATTTCTCACCATCTATCTAAAAGCCCGAAAATTAAACCTTAAGAACTAGACCATTCATTACAGCTTTACGGACAGAAAGATAAATGCATATAAAAGTTTCAGAAAACTGAGCTCGTTATTGAACATTTTGTTCTGTTTATTTACTGTACCTGGATATCTGTAGAAAGCATTGTGGAAAGTTTACATTTCTGTGGAAAATTGCTTCCCAAAAATAGCCAGCCTATGCAATCAAACTTTTAATGTTGTTATATGTCTATGTGGTGTTTTTAATATGCTTTAAGACAAACCAGGTACAAATGCATAAGTTATCACCATTGCTGAGTATTTTCTCCTTAAAACTGCAGTGAACCAAAGAAACTCTAAAAAAAAATGCGGTTTGAAATCGCTGGTGTTTCTGACGTCACAAACTACCTTGTAACCAATCTGGACAACATGTGATTGTCAACGAGTGGATCTCTGAGCTGGTGTGAGTGAGTGGAGGTGGGGCTAATTTGCATATTCATAGAACCGCGTATACTAAATGAGGCAAGCTCAGCAAACACAGAACGTTCCCCTAACGTTCCCGTTTATGCTTCCCATTTGGTTATTTTTTTGGGAACCAAACAAGAACGTTCCCAGAATGTAAAATTGTTAGCTGGGAGGGTGTAGAGTTACATTCAAGCTATTTTAAGGCATGACGATTTTTCAAGGAAATAAACATTTAAATGTGTAATTTTGGTGCTCAAAGATGAGTTTAAAGGGATGAAATGATTGACTACAGGGGGACTTTGAGCATTCAGCCTCCGTTAAAAGCAAAGATTATTAGGCTATGCATACTGCTTCTTGCATTCATAATCTTGAGTAGGCCTAGCTACTGCAACAAAACTAGGGAGAAAAACATGTAGGTTACTATTTAGGATCAGCATGTCAGTGTCTAGGTGAGGTGCATGTCAGGTTTCTTCCTTTATCTCACAGATTTTTTTTTTTACCTCACTCAATATGAGTCAACTTGTCAGATAGGCCTAAAAAAATACCCTGCTTTGACAATATGGATCGTATTGTGTTTTGCACGTTTCATTGATTTGATTATGACTCTTTTAGCCCTTCAACAATACCACTATCTGGCCAACAGAGGACGACGTGAATCTGTATTTGGTCAAAGTGAAGCAGCATCGACACGTGCAAACTTGAAGTCAGGTTAGATATGTGTCGTCGTTTTGCCTAGTTAAAAAAACAAAAACAAAAAACAAATACAATTTCACTAAAATTAAATTGATTGTTTAAGGCTGTTCACTTTATTTGTTAGGCTCTTTGTATCCACTTCATTGACACTTTCATTTTACAGGTTTTATTTCAGCAAACGTTACAAGCCTGTGCAGGAATAGTGCGTGTAATATGTGTGTGGGTGGACTGTAATCTGACTCCTCTTCTGCTGTATTTATTACCACACATCGTTCGATATTAGCACAGATGAACGTCAGCACGCTCCACCTCACTGCGTTCAGTCCATCAGAGAGATTCAAATGACATGTTAAATGACATGAGGATACACTTCAGCTCTAATTCTCTCTGTTTCATACCTCTGCCTTAACATATGACGAACAACAATACAAAAAAAGGGGATTTTGAGCAATATCACTTGAACTAGGCAACTTATTTAATATTCTTGACCTAAAATCTCAAAAAGTGTCCACAAGAATGAGAGGCGTCGTGACGGTGTGCTGTTTGAGTTTTCTTCTGGGTCTTCTACTGGCTATGGTTGAGAGTGATGAAGACTACACTGAGGATGAAGAGATGATCCTGTCTCTAATTCTGCAGGATGACTCCCAGCCTGAAGCAGAGAGCAGGCCATCTGCCCAGTTTTACAGGTGCACTAAGGTACTGGCTAAATTAATGAATCACTGTATGGGCTTATTACTTGATATTAACTTTAGAAACGATTTTTCCTAACTGAAAAAAAAAAAAAAAAAAAAAAACATGCTGCATTTTAAAGTGCAAAATTCAATAATTAAGTTTTCTGTTTTCTGTGTAGGCCTACCGGGCATTTGGTTCTTTTTATGAAAGTAAAATAAATTATTTTTATAAAGGAAACATTTTTTCTTACTTTTAAATCAGGCAAAGTGATTTTACTATGTCTACTCTGCAGGATGCAGATTTTTAAATTAATTGTATCAAATAAAACAAAATAAATAATGGATGTAAAATTACTAATTTCCTAAGTAAAACCAATGAACACGATTTATACATAGCCTATATATTTAGTCTAAATAGGAGGCACATTGTTAGCCCCAATATTTTTGTTAATATTTAATGTGTGTAATAAGAACACTTTATTTGACCAAATATCCAGTACTGGACATCAAATTGATGTATGAATATAGCCATAACACTATGATTTTTTTTTTTGTATCCTGTTACTTGTTTGTGAAGGGAGATCATATCTTCTCTAAACTTTCTTCACCATTTCTTTGACTTAGCCATAATTCTAACATGCAGTCAAACATGACACTCAACAAACCTAGCCAGTTAAGATATTTCATGTGTTCTAGCCCAAGCACACCTGGTGCAACTAATGATGCCCTTGATTAGTTGCATCAGGTGTGCTTAAAACAACACCTGTTTTGCAGATTTGTGCTGTTGTGAGGGATTTTATTCAGGGGGTTGAATAATTCTGAGACTGCAGAAGTCATTAAAAGTTGCATTTTCAGTTGGATTTGGGGAAACCACTTGCAACATTTGTTGTGTTGAGCTATTCCAATTAGTTTTGTTTGATTTGTTCATTGCAAACAGCTGAAAGTCTGTACATTTAGCCAGTAAACCTGATTTGCAATGGGAGTTCATTCATTTTGATTATAACTTTAGACACAAAAACGTGGATATTCAACATAATACAATGTCATATATCATTATTTTCCAGATACAAAATTAGATCAATTAAAAAACTGTTTCGACTGCCTAAATCTCACAAATGTTAGTAATCAGATGAAACGACAAAATGAAACAGTGTAGTCATTCATCAAAAGTGCTACGATGATATATATATACATATATATATCAAATAAATATATAGGCCCTGCGTTTATTTATCAACAATGAAAATATACTTTTTAGCTGGTCCCAGAAGCGAGCAACATCCCATTCTACCTTTTATATAACTGCCAAAAAAACTTCCCACAATGTTTTATTAGCTGTGTAGAAACACACACAAGTTGTCCTGACAACATCAGTTGCCACGAGCCAAGAACGTCTAAAATAAATGTACTGTAGTACGTGTGTGGAACGTTTGGAATGAGAAGGCTATCAAAATCTTTTTTTACCCACAGGATGCATGGCGCATGCCGGGTCAGTATTTAGTGGTGATGCGGAACGGAACGCACGTGAACCAGGTGGAGCGCACCGCGCGCAGGCTTCGCGCAAAAGCCGCGAAACGGGGATACCTGATCGAAATACTGCAGACTTATTCTGGAGCCTTCCACGGGTTTCTGGTGAAAATGAGCAGCGATGTTCTTCACATGGTAATTTACAGACACTACACAATAATGCTCTCAGTTTTGTATTTTATTTCTCAGTTCATATTTTATATTTAAGAATGTTTGAACAGTATTGCGGACTGAAAAATAAAATAAAAACTTGAACTGGGATTAAAATATTTAAATAATTCTTCAGTTATTGTCTGTCTTTTTCATTCCATCGCTTTTTGTTTTGTGTGTGTCAGGCAGTAAAGCTTCCCCATGTGGAATACATTGAAGAGGATTCCTCCATCTTTGCCCAGAGCATCCCATGGAACCTGCAGCGCATCCTTCAAAACAAACATGAGCCTGGAAAATACTCACCACTCAGTGAGCTAAAGTCTCCTCTCTCACTCTACTTTTTCCCCAAACACTTTAAATCACCTTCTAAAATTATATTCTGAGATCCTGAAGTGAAAGATTTGCTTTCTGCACTGTGTAAATGCTTTTATGTTAATACAATTTTTAATCTCTTGAATCTTCAATCCTTGTTCAATCCTCTTCAATCCAATGCATGGTCCTTGATCTGCTGCGCTTGTGTGTGTGCAGATGACGGCGCGAAGGTGGGAGTGTATCTCTTAGACACAAGCGTTCAGGTGACTCATCGTGAGATTGAGGACAGGGTGATGGTGACGGACTTCAACAGTGTGCCAGAGGAGGATGGGGTCAGAGTTCACAGACAGGTTGGTGAATGTCATTAAATGTTTTATGGTAACTGAAGTTTTTCGTGTAAGTGCTGATGAGAAGCATATGTCCATCACTTCCTACGGACTTCTGCCCACAGGCTAGTCAGTGTGACAGTCACGGCACACACATAGCAGGAGTGGTCAGTGGACGGGACTCGGGTGTCGCTCGAGGTGCCAGTGTAAACAGTGTCCGAGTGTTGAACTGCCAAGGCAAGGGTACCGTGTCAGGAGCTTTGGCAGGTAAACCAAAAAATAAATAATGTTATATATATATATATATATATATATGTATCTTTATAATATTATATGTTATATATGCAGCTTTAGCAGGTAAACCAAAACATAAGTAATACAAAAAATAATATATATATATACACACACACACACACACACACATATACACACTGCTGTTCACACGTTTTGGAATCTGAGATTTTATAATGTATTTAAAAGAAGCTAATCAAGACATTTATTTGATTAAAAAAAAAAAAACCTGTAATTTTGTGGAATATTATTACAATTTAAAATAATTGTTTTCCATTTGAATATATTTTAAAATGTAATTTATTCCTGAGATGCAAAGCTGAATTTTTAGCATCACTACTCCAGTCTTCAGTGTCACATTAATAGAAAGTTCTAAAGAACAGCATTTATTTGAAATATAATATTTTGTAACATTATAAATCTCTTTATGTCACTTTTGATCAATTTAATGCATCCTTGCTGAATAAAAGTATTAATTTCTTTCCCCAAATGACCCCAAATTTTTGACCGTTAGTGTATAATATTACAAAAGCTTTCTATTTCAAATAAATGCTTTTCTTTTGAACTTTCTATTCATCAAAGAATCCTGAAAAAGTGGACAACTGTTTTCAACAATGATAATAATCAGAAATGTTTCTTGAGCAGCAAATCCTCCTATTAGAATGATTTCTGAAGGATCATGTGACACTGAAGACTGGAGTAATGATGCTGAAAATTCAGCGTTGCCATCACAGGAATAAATGACATTTCATAATATATTTAAAGAAAACAATTATTTTAAATTGTAATAATATTCCACGATATTACTGCTTTTGTTTTTGTTGTTGTTGTTGTATTTTTAATCAAATAAATGCAGCCTTGGTGAGCAGAAGAGACTTCTAACATTAAAAAATCGTACCGATCCCAAACTTTTGAAGTTTATAGTTTTCAGTCTGTCTTACCAGCTTCAGCAGGTAAACCAAAACATAAATGAGAAAATATTATTCTATTCTATTATATATTAATAAATAAAAGGACAAACAATAAACAAGAAAATAATTACGAGCTTCGGCAGGAAAACAAACAAACAATAAATATTATATTATATTACTATAATACACAACTCTGTTGCAGGTCTGGAGTATATCCAGTCATCTCTGATGTCTCAGCCTCTCTCACCTGTGATCCTCCTCCTGCCATTTGTTGGGGGATTCAGTCGCACCCTCAACGCTGCCTGCAGGGAAATGGTGGCATCTGGCGCAGTGCTTATTTCTGCAGCTGGGAACTACAACGATGATGCTTGTCTGTACTCACCAGCCTCAGAGCCTGAGGTACTGACCTGAGATCACAATGGGTTGAGTCCTTCAGGAAAGCATTTGCTTTTGACATCATTTGTTCCCCTGCTGCAGGTGATAACAGTAGGGGCCGTTAATTTTGCTGACCAGCCGTTGAGCACTGGGAAGACCGGCACCAACGTGGGCCGCTGCGTGGATGTGTTCGCACCCGGTGATGACATCATCAGCGCATCCAGTGACTGCTCTACCTGCTTCACTACCAAGAGCGGAACGTCACAGGCAGCGGCACATGTTGCTGGTTAGCACACACACACACACACACACACGCTAATGCATACTATTATTAGTGCATGTTATTAGACAGATGAGAGTGCATTTGATCAGTCTGTCCATATAACCAGCTCTGGTCGGTGTGTGTTCTCAGGTGTAGCGGCGGTACTTCTGAATCTGAGTCCAAACTCCAGCTCTGCTGAGCTTCTGCAACAGCTCCTCTATCATTCAGTCAAACAGGTCATGAACCCAGAGTCTCTGCCACAGGACCACCGTCTCACTACACCCAACATGGTGGTCGCCCTGCCTGACCCGGCCTCCACACTCACAGGTCAGAGTTCACGAGTAAACTTCAACAGTGTGGTTTTTCAAACAACAGGCATTAATAATATGGACTGATATAACAGTCTGATTTATGATGATTTCAATACTATAATTAGCAGATTGCAATAAATGTATAATATTAAATTATATAGCGCCTTTACGTAGCTCAAGGTTGCTTTACATTGTACATTACAATACATTTACACACCCGCACACACACATTACAATCACATAAGGACACATATAGTCACATTATCCAAAATACATGTTAAATAGATATGTTTTAGCTGAGTCTTGAATGTAGCCATGAAGATGAGATATTATGAAGTGTAAGTGGTAGTGAATTCCATAATTTAGGAGCATTAACACTAAATGACCTTCCACCTACAGTAGACAATTGGAAACGAGGGATGGACAATAAACCAAGTTCAGCTGATCTAAGGGACTGGGCAGGGGGGTAAGAGTAAAGTAGATCAGACAGATATGGAGGTGCAAGACCATTTAATGCCTTAAATGTTAGAAGTAATACCTTAAAGCGAATACGTGATGCCACGGGTAGCCAGTGAAGGTCATGAAGCAGAGGAGTGATGTGAGCAGAACGCCTGGCGGAGGTGAGAACTCTTGCTGCTGAGTTTTGAACTCTTGCAATACGTTTTTTTGGGCAGACCAAGAAATCGAGCATCGCAATAATCCAGACGTGATGTGATTAATGCATGAGTTAAGGTTTCAAGATCGAAGATCCAAGACGTGCAATATTACGAAGATGAAAAAAAAAAGAGTTTTTAACAAGAGAAGAAATATGAGAGCCAAAAGATAGAGTTGAGTCGATTAAGACACCAAATAATATCAAATATATAATAATCCTATTAACATTATTTAATAATTCTAACGTTATTTATTGTTTTGTTTTACTGATTTATTTACATATTAATTGTGTGTTTATTAGTGACTTTCATCATGTAACAAACTGTAAAATTTGGAAGATAAACTCTTCCAAATTGTTCCAGGGAAGAATAAAATGCAATACATTTGTTAATTTATTGAACAATTTGGAAGAGTTTAACTTCCAAAAGGGTATTAAACCATTTTTGGTAGACTGTCACTGGTCCGGGCTGGTTTAGGTGGATGCTTTTGCTGGTAGACCAGTTTAGGACTAGTGTTGCCATGATGGGTGACTAATTTATTTTAAACACTATTAGAAGTGCCCAAACAATACCTGTAACCATTAAGGTGGCCTTAATGCACTTTGTTGTGTTATTTTTGATGATGTGTGTTTTCTCACAGGAGAGGATCTGCTCTGCAGATCGGTTTGGTCTGAGAGGTCAGGCGCTTCAGGTTTCGCCACAACTGTGGCCCGCTGTCGCCTCGGTGAAGAGATGCTGAGCTGCTCCAGTTTCTCACACAACGGAGCGAGAGCTGGAGAAAGAGTGGAGGTCATTATAAGAGAAAGTTTGTTCAGTATCCTCAAAAAATACTGTTTAAACTGTCAGCTTGATGCAAGTCACTACTTCCACTAGAGAGTGAGTAAAGTAGAGTAATGTTTAGTAATTTCCTTTCTGACAGGTGAGAGATGGGCAGAAAGAGTGTGTTGCCGTCAATGGGAATGGAGGGCAAGGTGTGTTCGCTGTAGCGCGCTGTTGTACAGGCCATAAAGCTCAGTGCCAGACGATAGAGAGTCCCGAGAGAGGCGCGGATGCAGAATGTCCCTCAGAACACCAGCTGACAGGTGACAGATGGTTTCGCACTGCAGCGTTTTTCATTAGGATTAATTAATGGCTTGTTCTGGGTTCAGTGGAAGTTGAAGTGTATTGGGTTTTGGTTATCAGACAATAATTTCACTCTGAAAGTCTTATATAAAAGGTTTTTTCATTTGAAAAATCAGAATTCTCTAATCTCATGCATTTGTTTTGAAATGATTCTCTTAATGAATAAAGTTTCTGCCGTCACTGCTGCTGAAAATGTATTTGAATAGAGATCTCTATGCCTATCCCAAAGCCAACGTGATAGTTTTTGTGTATATTTCTATTCACGTTTCTAGAATGTGACAACTGTCATCTTTCCCTGCAGGCTGCAGTTCTTCCTCTTCATCTGGAGAGGTATCAGACTCTGATCGACCTCTACATGGCAGCCGCAGGGCATGTCCTGCTAAAAGGGGTGTAACGTCATATGCCTCCTGCTGCCACACGTCCTCTCTGGAGTGTCATCTGAAAGAACACGACCCCACGGCTGTCAGCGAGCAGGTGACAAAGGCTACGTTTAAACTGCAGGCTGAAACGACCCAATTCCGATTTTTTTGCCCCTATGCGACCTGTATCTGATCTTTTCATGACAGTCTGAACAACACAGATCCGATCTTTTCAAATGCGACCCAGGCCACTTGGGTATGTGGTCCAAATCCGATATGTATCCGATCTTCAATCTGAACGGCCAGGTCACATGTATCCGACCCGCACGTCATTGATATGCGACAAACTTCATCATTCTGCGTTGAAGTAGGCGGGAATTGACCGTTGAGTACTCTTCTGCGCATGCGGGTCACTTCTGGGTCATTTCTCGTTCACACAGGAGATCACAAAAGGTCGCATTTAATTGGAAATGTGAACGGCCTTGCAAAAATATTAAATTTTTTCAAAAAATCGGAATTGAGCATTAAGCCCCTGCAGTGTGAACGCAGTATTACTCTCACAAGACGTTTCCTTTGACTCGGTGGACACAAAAAACAAACGCACAGCTTCTAACATTTATACAAGTGGCAGTTTAACTCCTGAATCTGTTGCACAACTGTGGATTCATTGAAACATGACTTAAAGGGTTAGTTCATCCAAAAAATTAAAATTCAGTCATTAATTACTCACTCTCATGTCGTTTCAAACCCGTGCGTTCATCTTCGAAACACAAGTAATGATATTTTTTAATGAAATCTGAGAGATTTATCCTCCATTGAAAGTCTATTCACCCAAATCTCATTCATAAAGAGATCGTAAAATAAATGCTCAAGCTTCCGTTTACCATATTTGAGTGGCTCTATTTACGTTTACCGATCAATGTTCATCTAAGTAAAAGCCCAAATTAAATCAGTTCATCATATAAAGAGTGTCTCATCAGAAGACTTGGATTAAACCACTCGATTCATATGGATTTCTTTTGGGTGAATTAAAGTGTGGTCAAATGTACTGCTGTTCATCTCATTTTCATATGTGAAATCCTGTCATTTTAATTGGAATGCACGTGCTGGTTCTGCGCGAGGGTGGAAGATTTCGACGTGTAAATTTCGACGTGTGGCCCATGCGAAATCGCCCTGTTGATCAACAGAACGCTGTTAGACTTGAAAGTGCCTTCTGTGCTTCCGACACTCCTTGAGATTTTGCCAAAATGTTGCTAATATGACCGAACCTTTAGTGTATCTGAGCAGCACTAACCTGCATTATTTATTTTAGGTGGAAGTTTCATGCGAGGAGTCCTGGACACTAACAGGCTGTCAGGCTCTTTCTCGTGGTTCTGTCGCTCATGGGGCATTTGCTTTGGGAAACACCTGTGTAGTTCGTACATCTGGAGGAGATAAAGGAGCTGCCGCCATCGCCACCTGCTGCAGGCGCCGCCCGTCCCACCAGCCGCGCGACCACTGAAGAGCTAAGGGGGATGGGTGTTCCTCTTTCCTCCCTTCTCTAAACACGTAACCAAGGACATAACTGCTATAACACATAGAATAGTTGGAGGCGTGACACGAGCGAGTTCAATTCTGCCACTACGGAATATTACACGATGGAGAAGAGCATTGGAACTGGTTCTGGTGTGACCATAACCAATGTAGACACCCTAAACAAATAGGCCTTTAAAACTGCAAAACACATTTTAAATAGGGATGCATTGATCAATTCTGACCAATACTTATGTTATGGCCGATTTTATACTATTTTGTATTAAAGAGCTGTATGTAAGAAATGTATTTCAATTAATCATAAAATGGCCCTGATGTGTCTCTAGACATTAAGAAATCATGTTCATTTCAAATACTTATATCACTGACAACAGTAGTACGGCCAGGATATTGTCATTTAAAAAGTGAAGTTGCAGCCCTCAACTGATGTTGTCATCTTGTGTTTTGGCCTGAAGCCCCACCCTCCACCTATCTACCAATCACGAAGTCAGTAGTGTTTCGGCATCCGGGTTACCAGCTCTGCTCTAGTTGAAAGCTCCTTGTAGCAGCCTATGTTCCTGCTGGATCCTGCAGCCTATCTGGCAACCTCGAGTCAGGGGGAGGGGATACACAGCTCTACAGTAATTTGAAAGTGATTGCAGTACCAATTTTGGCCACAATCTTACATACAGCTCCTTTAAGTGAATTTAGAGTTCATTGAAAAATGAAAATTAATTTTGAGATTTGCTAAAGATTACATTTAACATTGTTATTAAATTATTCGATTTTAAAGATCGACTTTAAGTGAGCCTTGGATGATGGCAAAGGTAATCTAAATGTAAAACATCGAGACCATCATGTACAATGACATCTAGAATATTGGCCGATATATTTTAAATATGGACCAATACTGATTAACAAACCTCCAATATTGGTAACTGATAATAATATTGATAACACTGTATTTAGTCGGCACTTTTCATTTTGATATTTACACATTCTGAATTGAACCATATCTATTTGTACTATATTTTGGAGAGCATTGTCTACTATTATGCATGTGCACTGTTTATAAGAGTATAACTCTTTTTATAAATGTTTATTTTTACATTACAAGTTTTATACAAACTTTATATGAGTAATGTCCTAAAATCAACTTCAGACTTGACACGTACAAACGTCACACAATCTGTGAAAAGTTGTGCATTCCAGTTTTTCCTTTTTTATATCAAATGTCTTCATTGTCAAACTCTGATGTACAAATTAAAATGTGGTTTTAACATGCATTAACAGATTCCTTTACACATCTTACACACTCGCAGCAGAAATGAATCAAAGAATCCCCAGTTATTAAAAACTCTTCAAGCGTCTTCAACCCTGTCCTGACACCCAGCTTCAAAATGCAAGCCTTGTCACAGATCTGCCGAGTGGTTGGTACAGCATCTACAGGGTTAAAAAAGACTGATTGGAGGAAGGAGGATCAGATTTGATGAAAGCTTTATCACACCCTGTCTCTAAGTACATATAAACTGCAACTCCACCGTTTCTTATGGGCTCCTTTTGTGAAAACCGATTTAGGCAGCTGAGCTGAAGTTAGTGTGATATCTTAGCCAATGTGCATTTTCCAGCAAAATAAGAAAGACACCTTATGTTCAGGCACTGATCTGATGAATTGTCCTCTCAATCGTCACTGAACTCTGTGCCTTCAGCCCGAAACATTTAGAAAAAGTCCTCCGGTCATCCTAAAGCCTATATAACTAATCATCGCAAACACTAACCACATATGCGGCGGTGATTTAGCAATGAACCATTTACTGATTCAAAGTATAAAGGCAGTTGTGAGTACTGCAGTGTTTCGCTGACTATTAGAGGCCGACACTTAGAGAAAGAGTCAAAAAGTCAAATACCCTTTTAAACCAGCCTTAACAGGTTTGCTTGTTTTACCTAGTTGCCCAGCCTGACCAATCTTGGGTTAAAGTGCCCAAAACCACTCTAAAACCAGCAAACCAGTCTGGTCCTGTTAAAAAAAAAAAAAAGTTACACCAGTTTAAGATGGTGTGCTGGTTTAACTTGATCACCCAGCCTGACCAATCGAGAGTTTAAGTGCCCCAACCCCCCTAAACCCAGCTAAGCAGACTTAACCAGCTGAGAAAAAACATCTTAAACTAGCCTTAAGTGGTTTTACCTGGTCTCCCAGCTTGACCAATCTAGAGTTAAAGTGCCCACAATCCCTCTTAAACCAGTAAACCAGACTGGCCCTGTTGAAAAAAATGTTGAACCAGTTTAAGATGGTATGCTGGTTTTACCTGATCACCCAGCCAGACCAATCAAGAGTTTAAGTGACCCACACCCCCTAAAACCAGCAAAGCAGGCTTGCCCTGTTGGGAAAATATTTATAGCTGTTGGTCTCCCAGCCAGATCAAGCTGGTCTACTGGCCACTAAACAAGCTGGATACCAACCAAGACAGACGGGGAGACCAGCATAAACCAGCTAAGACCAGCATACCCGCTTAGGCTGGTTTAAGATGGAAGGGACCAGCGGGTTTCAGCTTTGGCCAGTTTACTCAATTATTTCCCACCAAGAGAGTCTCTCACATGTACAAACATGCGAAAAAGCACATCAAAAAAAGCGTCAACGTGAAAGTTTCCAAAAAAACACACGCAAAGAGCAGGTGACTGTGAGGTAAAAAGCAGCACTACGGTTCACTCTTTCAGCAAACGTTTGTGTAAGGTGGTGGTGAGGTCTTTCCGCTGTAAACATTGAAGCGATGTTGCTAAGTGTTCTAGTCTAAATATAAAATGAGCAGCAAACGGCAGATGAATCACCCTGCGGACTCCCTGAAGGAGAGACATCACAGGCCCGGCTCAAACAAGCGTCCCGTGTCCTCATATGGCGCTCCGAGATGAGCACGGCCGAGCATATGCGTGTGCGCTGTTATCGTCATGTCGAGCGGGTTCAGGCATTTGTGTAGCACGGCGTTTGTCTCAAGACGAGGATGCGAGCAGCATAGGGGACGAGTCGAGTAAAGGCACTTTACTGCTCTGTGACAACTTCCCATCTCTCCAACAACCTGTCTTACTCTTTCCCCTCCCCTTTCATCCCCTTTCTGCCCGATCCTCGCCCCGTCATTCTATCGCATAAGGCAGACTGAAAGGAAAAGATGCAGGCAAACTAACAAAAAAAAGAAAAAAGGGGGGGACAAATATGGCAACATTTACCCTGAAAAGTGTCATGTCCTAGACCTTCATACCAGAGCGGCACAAGACAACATCAAAACAGATGAACAGAAAGAGTGAGATGACACACTGCTGATTGTAGCACTCATTGTCTTTTGGGAGGAAGAAACGTTCATCGGCTCTCAGTGTCTTGCATATGTGTCTTAGGACGCATCTGCTGATGCGATGTGTCTTCCGCTGTAAAGTCTGTCCCCCGTGTCCACCGTCATATTTCTCTGTCTAGCACTTGCGTCTTCTGCTGCACGCGGTTTCCTATTCAGAAAGTCAAGGATCGGACAGAGAGCAGCGAGGGACATGTCTGTCCAATTGTCTCCACGTGATGAATTTGTCACAAAACTGAATTCAAATATAAAGTGCATTTTAAAAATACCAGCAAAAATGAGAAAAAAAACAAACAAAACAAAAACCGTGTGATTATTTGACTCTCAGAGACTTGGCAAGTTCCTCTTTTTTTTTTTCGAATAAGATTTGAGGCACCTCAAACAGATCCAGAAAAAAAAAAATAAAGAAAATCAGTAAAGGATTCTTAAAAATATTATTTTACATTTGAAATTACACTTATGGAACACATCTTTACATTTCTCATGAATAGTATCTACTTAATTACATTGGCAAATATACGCTGATTTCTTTTAAAACACCCCGTCTGGCACCATAGTAGTAGTTCTGCGTAAAAACGTCAAGGAAATGAAAGCCTCCGTTTTTAAGTCCCATTCGTCTGACAGAACACATCGAGTCAGACGAAACATCTAAATGACTTGCAAGACATGAACTCTGATTTTATCCAGCCAGGCTTTAACCACCAGAAAAAAGAAAAAACAAAGAAACAAACAAACAAAAAAACGAGATATTCGCGTCTGTTCACGTCTCCGGCGAGGCGGCTTGAAGAGCGAGCGCTCCGACGGGCCCTTCGGCTGCTTCTGGTCGCTCCGTTTCCAGTCCCTAGAAGATCAAATGCAGTTTTCTGATTGTGTGTTTAGAGCCACAACATCTTTCCGTCGGAGGGATTTTCTTTGTGTGTTTTGTTGCGCACAAACAATGAGGAACGTTAGGGGTCCACATCTTCTAGATCACTCCGAGAATCGCCCAACATCATTGGGGATTCGGATCCCTGAGAGAAAGAAATGGTTAATATAATGATTTATTAAACACTTGGATGTTTTAGCATAATGCTGCTGATTGTTTGCTGATGATGGACTGCTGAAATAATGAGACCTGTCTGAGGCTTCGTTCTGAGTTCTCATTGGCCGGGCTGCCGTCTGATCCATTGCTGCTGCCGGACTGCTCCTTCTCATTCAGTAAAGCTGTGGCATAAGCCAGAGTGTCCTAAACACAAAACCCACCATTCATTGAGCTCCATTTAGCAGGTCAAATGTCATGATTCTCCCATAAAGTACCAAGGGGGTGGCTAGCTAACTCTTAGCTGCAAGTAAACCATTAAAAAAAAAGAAAAAAAAAAACATTTTAAAGGGATAGTTCAACCAAAATGAAAATTCTGTCATTAATTACTAATTAATTCCTCATGTTGTTTCAAACCCGTAAGACTTTAGTTCATCATTGGAAATCAAATGAAGATCTTCTTGATGAAATCTTTACACGATCGCTTTATATGATGAACAGATTAAATTAAGGCTTTTATTTACATATAAACATTGATCAGCGTACATAAACAGAAGCTCAACGGAACCTGCGTGACGAGCGAGAACAAACCTCATTGGTTCTTGCAGAAGCTCAAACGTGCTGCGGAACACGAGAATGAACCTCATTGGTTCTTGCAGAAGCTCAAACGTGCTGCGTAACACAAGAATGAACCTCATTGGTTCTTGCAGAAGCTCAAACGTGCTGCGTAACACGAGAATGAACCTCATTGGTTCTTGCAGAAGCTCAAACGTGCTGCGGAACACGAGAATGAACCTCATTGGTTCTTGCAGAAGCTCAAACGTGCTGCGTAACACGAGAATGAACCTCATTGGTTCTTGCAGAAGCTCAAACGTGCTGCGTAACACAAGAATGAACCTCATTGGTTCTTGCGGAAGCTCAAACGTGCTGCGTAACACAAGAATGAACCTCATTGGTTCTTGCAGAAGCTCAAACGTGCTGCGTAACACAAGAATGAACCTCATTGGTTCTTGCAGAAGCTCAAACGTGCTGCGTAACACAAGAATGAACCTCATTGGTTCTTGCAGAAGCTCAAACGTGCTGCGTAACACGAGAATGAACCTCATTGGTTCTTGCAGAAGCTCAAACGTGCTGCGTAACACAAGAATGAACCTCATTGGTTCTTGCTGAAGCTCAAACGTGCTACGGAACACAAGAATGAACCTCATTGGTTCTCGCACATCAAGCGAACATGCTTGAGTTTCCGTTTATGTGTACTGATGTGTGAGTTGATTAATCTTTATATGTAAATAAAAGCCTAAATAAAATCTGTTCATCATAAGCGATCGTGTCTCTTCCGAAAATTTGGACTAAACCGCTCAATCCATACGGATTAGTTTCACGATCTCTTTATGAACTTTTTAAAGTGTCAAAGTAGTAGTTGCACAGCTGTCAATGGAGGGACATAAATCAACTCAGATTTCATTAAAAAGATCTTCATTTGTGTTTCGAACATGAACAAAAGTCTTACAGGTTTGGAATGAAATGAGGGTGAGTTGATGACAGAATTTTCAGTATTGGGTGAACTAAACCTTTAAAATAAAATACAAAATATAAAAAACAGTTACAAAAATAAAAGTCTTCTTTAAATGTTTTAAAAGACAAGCTTTTTTAATGATTTTGTACAACAGCAAATTAGCTTAAATTAGCATTTTTGTGTTGTTTTGGGGGTGTTTTCATCTCAAAGAAAAGAAAAACATTAAAGGGATACTTCACCTCTGGAAAGATAAATGTGTTTTTAAAATGGGTCATTTATGTAGAAGAAATGTGAAATTATTTTTGAATTTGGAGCTTTCTAGACTGAGAAAAGCCAGAAAATGTATTTTTGGCTTATGTGGATGAAAGACAACAACTCCCAGAATGCACTTGCTTTGCTGCCCTAGGAGGCCAC